CCATGTCTGCCAGCATCGACTCAGGAACGTCTGGTGCCCGGGTCATCGCGACTTTGGACGCCGGTTCTGATTTGACCTTCTTGGCTGGGCGTGGTACCTTTGTGGAGGCTTTAGAAGCCGGCTCTAATTTAACCTTCTTGGCTGGCAGCGGTGCAATCGGTTTCTCGACAGCCGTCGTGTTTGTCTGTGGTGACATTGTTAGAACAAATGTTGCCAAAAAAGAGTGGCTTACCGCTGAAGTGGTGCGGACTACTTTATTCGCCTCTTTGGCAATAGGTTGGGTGCTGCCTTCAATCTCACTGTCGAGCTGCATGGTGTCATCTTCAAACTCCATGACGTCATCTCCATCTCCATCCTCGTAATCGTTCGAGTTGTCTTCAGGTCCAAGGTCAAGTTTCCTCTTGCCAGCACGAGGTGCACCTTGCTCTAAGGCATAGCTAACGATCTCTACTTGCCTGTCGTAAGGCAAATCAGCGAAGGGAGTGCCGGCCAGTGGCATATCCAAGACGTTGTCATCGGTGTCAGATTCCTGGGGCGTTCCTGGAACGATAACCTATATACATAGTAAGTACACATCTTGTCAATCATAAATAGCTGATTGGACTTACCTTTGCGCGAGTGACGGCTTTGTTTTTCCCCTTCGATCCCGTGCTAGGAACTGTCACATACACGTCGGTATCAGTGCCACTCTCGATTTCGATAACGGTCGGGAATAGATGGTAAGTACGCCATTCGTCAGGGCCCCAGGGGTCCACTGCAACTTACCGTCATAGCAGCTTTGCCTTGTCCTTTTTCTGCAATGGCAGCTGCACGCTCTTCCGAGTCAGAATCACTCTCATCAAGGTCGCCGTCGTCAGAGTAGGTGGCCTTAAGTGTATGGTCGGCCTGGGACTTTGAAGTCTTGGTTGGAGTAGGTGGGGGTTCTGTTGCCTGCGAGAAAGTAGTTGTTGACGTTACACGGCTAAATACTGAATCTGTCGTTGAGCAGGGTATGCTTGTCCCACTCCGAACTGAGGATGCCTTTGAGGATTTCCCCTTCGAATCAGGTTCCACTTGATCGCGCCAATTATTGATCTTCCCTGACAAGCTGAATTTCTTGCCTCTGAATTTTGAGGTCAAGTTTAGAAAGTAAAGTGTTGACTCTGTGAGTATTAGCATGATGGTGTGAGACAGAAAGTCACTGACTCGACATTGTTTCCTTTCTTGTCAAGGCCGTGTGCCTTGCCATCAACAGGTCTCCCAGGCTGAGGCGCATCAATCAGATCGATATCAGATCGATCCTCATTCTGCTTCTTCAACCTCGCAGCACTGACAGCCTCGCGTAACAAAAGGTTGACTTTCTTCTTCTTCTTTGGCTTTGGCTCAGCCATCTCAACCTCATCCCCATAATCACCTCCTACATCCATATCATCGTCAGTGAGACCTTGCAAGGTACGCTCATCTTTAGACTGGACACTGGTATCAATCCCTAATGCACTGTGACTGTTTGAAGGGGCATCTTTGGTAGCACACTGCTGCTTTTTAGCTGGCCTTGGACGAGGCTTTACAGGCGTCACCTTTGCTACTGCTGCTGCCTGCTCTATCTCCATCGATGCTTCTATCGCTCCAACACGATCAATGCCGTTTTTGGCGGCTAATTCCTGTGCTTCCTGTGCTTCTCTTGCCCGCTCATTATCTGCAGCAATTTGCTTTGCCGTACGTCGCTTCCTTGTAGCTTGCTTGACGACATCACCAGGGTGCTGAGTTGCGTTTTTAGGACGAGTAGAGACCATAGCAGACGGGAAAGCAGTAACAGCAAGATGACTGAGGTTGTGAGCACCGAAGAGGGATCGAGAAAAGTCAACACTTTGGTAAGTGCCCCACGATCTTTTCTAAACTCAGACAGATGGCGCTGCCATGCTTACACACAATTCAAGCCTTTTTCCTCGTCCCTGGCACATATTGGCCAATTGCGCATCATGCGCACACTCAAAACCACTCTATTTCTCGCCGTTATTTTTGTGGCCACCATATTCACCATGTCGCACCTTAGACAAGATTTCAGTGCCCTTCGCATTCCCTGCACCAAATCAGGATGCAACTGCTGGTTCAAGAACAAGTCTGGATTCACTCAGCATACGAACGCAGTACATCCAGTCCTCAACGCTGCACCCTCACACCCAGACCCGTCTCAGCCTGGCCGTTCCCCTTCACCATTTTACCCAGACCCGTCTCAACGCAGTCGATCCCCTTCACCTATCTTTGATGGACATCCCATCGAACACAATGGTGCCGCCGGTGAAGAGGATTTACCTGCTGAGTTCTTTGGTGCTGGCGACCACTTGTATAGAAACTTCCACCCCCACTTAACCGGTACATTTCCTTTCCTTTCCTTTTCACATTTTCTTTAATATCCAATTGCTCAATTTTCAAAGGTCGCACATGTGATCCTGAAGGGAATTTCCTTCCTCCAGGAGCTCCACCCCCACCACTTACAGAAAAATCACCCAATGATTGGACTCCCTACCGTGATCGGTTGGAATTCGAGCTTGCTGACTATATTTTCTCCAAGAATCAGACACCCGCAACACAGATTGACCACCTTCTGGATATGTGGGCGGCATCGCTAATCCGAGCCGGCGCTGACACATCAGAAGTATTATTCGCAGACCATCGCGATGTTTACAAGACGATTGACAACACGCCTTTGGGCGATGTCAAATGGCAGTCGTTCTCCATCAAATATACGGGAGAGCATCCAGATGACGGCCCTGCACCCTGGATGACAGACAGCTATGATGTCTGGTTTCGTGAACCTCACGACATCGTTCGAAACATGCTTGCCAACCCTGACTATGCCGCAGAAATTGATCTTCGACCTTACCGCGAATTCGCAACAGAGACAGACGAGCGCCAGTGGCAAGACTTCATGTCTGGCGACTGGGCGTGGAATCACGCAGTAAGTTGTCACCTTCCTTGTCATGCTAGTTAATTTAATTCACATCTATACAGGATCAAATTGCTGAGGATCCAGACACACATGGCTCGACATTCATTCCTGTCATCCTTGGCAGCGACAAAACCACGGTGTCGGTTGCAACCGGGCAGAACGATTATTATCCGCTATATGCATCCATAGGAAATGTCCGCAATAATGTACGTCGCGCTCACCGCAATGCGGTCGCCGTTGTTGGATTTCTAGCAATGCCGAAGAGTAAGTTCCTCTCCAATCGCATATCTTCATTGACCTCACTACACGAAGCGACTAAACAGCACGCAAAGACTGCGATATTCCGCAAATTCCATCGACAACTATTTCATTCCTGCCTTTCATTCATTCTGAAGAACCTGAAGCCCGCAATGACCAAGCCCGAAGTCGTACGCTTTGGCGATGGCCATTATCGTCGCGTTATCTACGGACTTGGCCCTTACATTGCAGACTATGAAGAACAAGTTTTGCTCGCGTGTATAGTCCGATTTTGGTGTGCAAAGTGAGTATTTGTATTTGTCGCTTCCTCATTACTAAATATATGATAGATGTACTTCGAATAACAAGACCCTCGACGATGACAATCTCCTGCGCTCAAGATTTCATACCGACACGCTAATTGAAGAGTGTGACCATGGGATGTTATGGTTCGAGTATGGAATTGTCGCTCAACTTGTGGTAAGTCTTCGAGTATTGTTTTTGATCAGAATTAACGCGCTCATATAGCCGTTTACAAACGACTTTCCGCGAGCCGACATACATGAGCTCATTGCCCCAGATCTCCTCCACCAGATCATAAAGGGTGCCTTCAAAGATCACCTTGTCGCATGGGTTGAAAAATACCTTGTGCGGATGCATGGACAAGCACGAGCTGATATCATGCTCGACGACATTGATCGAAGGTGCGCCAATCATTACATTAACCGAGAACCTGGCTTACTAGTATTGCAAACAGAATCGCAGCAGCTCCGGCGTTTTCGGGATTGCGCAGATTTCCTCAAGGGCGCAACTTCAAACAGTGGACCGGGGACGACTCAAAAGCGCTTATGAAGGTACTTTGACATTCCTCCCATTGGACTCGGACTTTTGACTAACATCACTCAGGTATATCTACCGGCAATTGAAGGCTATGTCCCGACAGAGATCGTTCGCACATTCCGTGCTCTCCTCGAATTCTGCCACCTTGTCTGTCGGAACGTCATCACGGAGACAACTCTCAAAGAGATCGATGACGCGGTCGTTCGATTCCATCACTACCGCGAAATCTTCAAGTCTTCTGGGACAATTCCGACCTTTTCACTCCCTCGACAACATTCAATCAAACACTACCACACCCTCATTCGACTTTTCGGAGCCCTGAATGGACTTTGTTCCTCGATAACAGAATCCAAGCATATCAAGGCCGTTAAGGAACCGTGGAGACGGTCCAATCGTTACAAAGCCCTAGGCCAGATGCTCGTGACGAACCAACGCTTAGATAAGTTGACTGCATCACGTCAAGATTTTCACGCTCGTGGGATGCTTAACGGCTCCTGCCTAACTTCTGTTCTTACTGCGCTGAACCAACAAGCCCCCATGGAACAACTCGATTCAGACCAACACGTGCCGCCTGTCTTGTCAGACGCTGGAGCAGATGGAAACGAAGACTTTGAGGTCATCGACGACCCTACATCAGTCCTCGCACACGTAGAACTCGCTAAGACACCACGTAAGTACACATTCATCGCTTTTCATTTTATCTACTGACAACTAGTACATAGAAGGGACAAAACGTGCACGAAGCATTCCAGAGCTTAGCGCTGAGCTCAACATCCCCGACTTGCCCGACCTCGTTCGATGGTTCCTGTTCGAACAGTCCAATCCTGACGATGCTCGCGACCCTACCAACGTCCCTCTCCTAGAGTCCCCGCACTATCGAGGTCGAATTTCTGTGTTTAATTCTGCATCGTCCACGTTTCACGCACCCAGCGATCTCAGCGGAATTGGTGGCATGAAACGCGAACATATACGTGCATGTCCCTTATGGAGAAACGAGCACGCCCGCAATGATTGCGTCTTCGTGATCACTAACTCAGATGTTCACGGGATGCGGGGAATGGATGTAGCCCGCGTTATGGCATTCTTCTCTCTTCGCCAGAATGCCAGACGTGTTCCGTGCGCCGTGGTCCGTTGGTTTAATAGGGTTGGTGACGCGCCTGATCCTGACACTGGCATGTGGATGGTCAAGCCAGCTTTCACAGCGAATCACACCCCACACTTCGCAGTGATTCATATTGACACTATTTTTCGTGCAGCTCACTTAATTCCGGTTTTTGGCACAACCCCCCTCCCACCATCAATCACATTCCATCACACCCTTGACATATTCAAACTATACTATGTAAACAAGTTCGCGGACCACCACGCATTCGAGATCGCGTCTTAGGCTCCCCCAAAGTTTATCATTTCTGTACTACTTATCATGATTGAATTCCAGTGTGTTTGCTCGTCACGCAGTGTGGTATATACACGGCTGGTGGTATCATCATGGAAGGACCTCGACTAAGAACCCCCAACATCCCCTCGTCCAAGAACCCCCAACATCCCCTCGTCCAAGAACCCCCAACATCCCCTCGTCCAAGAACCCCCAAGAACCCCCAACATCCGCTCGTCCAAGAACCCCCAACATCCCCTCATCAAAGAACCCCCAACATCCGCTCATCCAAGAACCCGCAACATCCCCTCGTCCAAGAACCCCCAAGAACCCCCAACATCCGCTCGTCCAAGAACCCCCAACATCCCCTCATCAAAGAACCCCCAACATCCCCTCATCCAAGAACCCGCAACATCCGCTCATCAAAGAACCCGCAACATCCCCTCGTCCAAGAACCCCCAAGAACCCCCAACATCCCCTCATCCAAGAACCCGCAACATCCGCTCATCAAAGAACCCCCAACATCCCCTCGTCCAAGAACCCCCAAGAACCCCCAACATCCGCTCATCAAAGAACCCCCAACATCCCCTCGTCCAAGAACCCCCAACATCCCCTCATCCAAGAACCCACAAGAGCTTCTAGCGGACATCTTGGGGGTTCCTTGACGAGGAAGTTTCGTGTGGCTAGGTGGGACAAGAAGGTCAGGACTCCGAGTCATTTTCTGTCAGCTTGATGAATCGCAGATGCTCGAGATCGTTCCACAATGCTTCGCGCGCTTGGGGAGATTGTTGCCATCACTGGAGAACCTTAGTGTGAATGGCGGACACTTGCACTTTGTTTCTTATTTTACTTATTTCAGTCCGCTGTCACTTAAGATAGCGTGAATGGCAGACACTTGCACTTTGTTTCTTATTTTGCTTATTTCAGTCCTTCGACTTAATTTAATGGTGCCCACTTTCCGCGTCCAAAGAATAAGTGAAAAAAGTTGTAATTAGCGAACTTTCACGCCTTGTTTCGTAAATTAAGTGATTTAAGGTTGAGAAGGTAAACCCGTGATTTCCTGATGTGTTGCGTCAACAGAGTCAATGCACAGATTCGCAAGGTTATTTAATGACTTGGACCGACTTGAGTGACCGACCAGGGTCCGATATAGCGCTTCCCTGTGATATGCGATAGCTTCATTCAATTCTTTGCCGTCGCCTCGGTGCTGTATGCGAGTAGAGAGCGTATACGCAAGGCTATTTAATGACTTGGGTCGATTTGGGTGACCGACTAGGAACAAATTCAGCGCTTCCTCTGTGAAGCGCAATAGCCTGATCCAAGTCTTGGACATTGCCTCGGTGCTTGAAGCGGTTGGAGAGTCAATTCCCAAGGTCATTTAATGACATGAACCGATGTGTGACTGACCGGGACTAAATCCAGTGCTTCCTTGCAAAACATGATAGCCTCATCCAAATCTTGGTAATTGCCTCCGTGCTCAAAGCGGGTAGAGAGTCCATTTGCAAGGTTATTTAATGGCAGAACCCGATCTCGGTGACTGCTTGGGTGCAAAGCCAATGTTTGCCTGAGAATCGTGATGGCCTCGCCGACGTCTTGGCTATTGCCTCGACGCTCACTGTTACGCTCGGCGTCACAAAGACGTCTGGTATCAAAGATCAAAGTAGAGTTCGATTGCACAAGTAAAGCTAGAGTCTGCAGGCCCTGGTCTGCGTAGGTCAAGTTAAGGAATACATGCGATAAGTAGGTGGTTTAAATAGGGAATGGGACGAATGTTCAAGCGGAGCTTGTAAATGAGGATCCAATCAGAAAAGAGAATGAGAATCGTACGATAGAATATGATAGAAAGTGATGGAAACGGATAGAATATAGGAGAAACGAGTAGAACTGTAACATTACCCCCGTTTTAAGGAGAGTAGTATGCACTGAATACTAAATAGAATTGTCAAAGACGATGTGCGCGCTTATATGCAAGTAAAATGTCAGAAGCGTTACCTAGTTGCCTCTCTGTCATCCATTCGTTCTCGGAACTCGGGAAGCCTTTCCAGCTAACGTTGTAGGAGCGTCTAGAAGCTGAGCCACGATGACCAACGATGGCTTCAATTTCTTGTTCTTCTTCGCTGTCAATGACATCCGGTGGTGGTGCGATAAAGTTAGGACCGTGAATGTCGTTTTCTTTATAAGGGGATAGGAGGGCGGCATGGAAGACGGGGTGAATACGCCACTGTGCGGGCAGAGCAAGTCGATAAGTGACTGGGGATAATACGTCGGTGATGGTAAAGGGTCCTTCGCACTTAGGAGCGAGTTTGCGGTTAGGATATCCAAGGTGGAGATTCTTGGCTTCGAGGCAGACTTTGTCACCTTTAGCGAACGGGGTGAATCGGGAGGAGATGCACTGGCGCATAGTGTTTCGTGCGAGTTCATGAGCGGCTAGCGCTTCATCGCGTGCTTTGTTAAGCATGAAGAGACGTTGTTCGATATTGGGGATGTCGGTTTTAGGATGAACGTCAGGGAGGTGTTTCGGGTGATAGCCCATCATGAGGTAGAAAGGGGAGGTGCCGTGGGCAGAATGATGACGAGAATTATGGACGAATTCTGCTAGGGGGAGCATGGCGGCCCAGCCAGTTTGGTCATTGCCACAAAAGATCCGGAGGTAGACTTCGAGCTCTTGGTTAACTTGTTCGGTCTCTCCATCACTCTGGGGATGAAACGCAGTGGAAAGGGAATTCTTGTATCCGAGGAGTCTTCCGAGTTCGATCTGGAATCTGGAGGCGAACTGAGGTCCGCGGTCAGAGATAATTTTATCGTAAAGTCCGTATCTAGAGAAAACTTTGGAAAAGAAAATGTTCGTGACGCCTTCAGTGTCGATCGTCTTGGTACAAGGGGTGAAAATTACCCCCTTCGAAAGGCCATGGTCCACCGTGACCATGATGCTGTCAAAGCCATCGGATGGTGGAAGGTCGGTGATGAGGTCGACCGAGACCTGAGCGAAGGGTCGATTGGAGAGAGGGGCGGGTATCGGTTGGAGAGGAGGGGAGGACGGGTGTGTGTTTACTTTGTTCTGTTGGCAGATGCTACAGCCGTCGACGTAGTTCTTGACAAAGGTGGAGAGGCCGGGCCACCAGAAGTTGCGAGAGAGGAGTTCTTGAGTCTTGAAGTGACCAGGATGGCCGGCGGTAGGGGAGTCGTGATGAAGGGAAGTGATTTCGCGACGAAGGTCTCCTGGAGATACATAGGTGAGTCCTTTATAAGTAAGAATTCCGTCGCTCAATTTCCAATCGGAAAGAGCGGAACGGAGGGGAGGAGGGATGGTCGGATCAGTGAGCGCTTGTAGCGCGGTATGTACTACCGGGTCAACCGATGAAGAAATACGTAATCTGTCCGTAAAGGAAGTGTCAATGGTGTTAATGAATAACGAATCGGGAAGTAATTGTATCTGGAGATTGTCCTTTTTGACGCTATCGTCCGGAAGGTGATCCGCTCTACGAGATAATAAGTCGGGTATAATGAGGTCTTTACCCGGTACATGTTCAATACGTAATTCGAATTGGGAAAGGAAGGTTTGCCAACGTGCTTGGCGGCGGTTCAAGTCTTGGACGTCTCTGAAATATTGAAGGTTTTTATGGTCAGTTTGTACGAGGACAGGGAAAGGGGATCCGAGTAGGTAATGTCGCCATGCTTTCAAAGCACGGACGATTGCGAGTAACTCGCGGTCGTATATCTGGTAATTTCGTTCGGCGGGGTTGAAGGATTGGGAGAGGAATGAGCAGGGGAGCCAGCTGCCGTTGGGGTCTTTCTGGAGGAGAACTCCCCCAGTTGCGTAGAGGGAGGCGTCAGTCGCGATTGCGAAAGGGAGGTTCTTGTCGGGTATTTGGAGGATAGGTGAGGATGTGAATATTTCTTTGAGCCTGAGAAAGGCGTGTTCGCGTTCTGGGGTCCATGAGAATGGTTCGTCTTTCTTGGTTAGATCTATTAAGGGTCGTGCGATAGAAGAGTAGTTAGCGATGAAACAGCGGTAGAAATTAGCGAATCCGAGGAATGATCGGACTTCCTTGACTTTCGTGGGAGTCTTCCATTCGGATATACCGTTTAGCTTAACTGGGTCCATGGCGACGGAGCCGGGTTTGATGATCATGCCGAGGTAGTCGATTTCTTTTACGTTGAAGGTACATTTTTCGGGTTTGAGGTGGAGGAAGTTGTCGCGGAGTCGTTGAAGTACCTTATGGGTACGAATCTGATGGGTTTCGAAATCTTTGGAGAAGATCAGTATGTCGTCCATGTAAATGATTATCCATCCTTCCTGGATCATGTCTCCGAACAGTTCGTTCATCATAGACTGGAAGGTGGCTGGCGAGTTGCACATGCTGAAAAACATTACCAATGGTTCGAAGAGTCCTCTGGATGTGGCAAATGCCGCTTTCCAACAGTCGGAGTCTTTCATACGTACGTTGTTATATCCCCATCGGATGTCCATCTTGGTGAAGATCTGGGCGTCTTTGAGTTTATCTATCAAATCTGAGATCAGCGGTAATGGGTAGTTATTTTTAACCGTGTGTTCATTCAAATATCGATAGTCTTGGCATGGCCGGAGAGATCCGTCTTTCTTGCCAACGAAAAAGAAGGGTGATGATTGCGGGGATTCGGAGGGTCGGATAGTACCTTTAGCGAGATGTTCGTCAATAAAGTCGTTCATGGCCTTCTCTTCTTTGGCGTTAAGCGGATAAATTTTGCATTTCCGCGGTTCGAAGGAATCCTTGAGGTCGATCTTGTGATCAAACTTGCGTTCTGGTGGGAGAGTTCCGTTAGCTACGTCACCGAATATGTCTTTATACTTCTGGAACTCTGGTGGGACGAGTTCCTCGAAGGATTTCTTGGGTTTTGCGGCGTCCTGGGCGAGGGTTTGGGAGATGTTGTCGGCTTTTCTCACCGATACGACTATTTCGTCGTCTTCGTCGAGGTCTAAGAGGTTAGGGAGGTCGTCAAGAGAGAATGGTGTTTCTGGAATACTTTCCATTGCGTCATGGAAGACGTCTTCTTCTTCTGGTTCTAATGCGTCATAAAAGACGTCTTCTTCGCTGGTTTTAGCAGCGGAAATAGTGCACTCGTGAAGATGTACTTCTTCGGCGGTCCAATCTATATTAGGGTTTTCTTGTTTTAGCCAAGTCATTCCCAGAATCGTGTCCTCTCCTCCTAAAGAGGTTACAAGGAAATGCGTCTTCATGGGAAGATTGCGAACAGAAAAGGATAGATTACAGTACCGTGTGATTTTTCCATTTTTGTTGAGCGTGCCATCCACATTGTGTACGGGTATGGGCTTATCGAGAAAATGAGTCTTGATGGAGTTTCTTCAGACGAATTGCCAATCAATGAACTCCCCTTCTGCGCCGCTATCGATTAGTGCGCTTGCTTCGGTGGTTTTGTCGGTCCTAGATGATTCAATGGTTAACGGAATACGAATAGATTTTGAGTCGCCAATTGATTGTACTAAGAGTCCTATTCTAGGGGTGTCTGACACCGGTGCAGATCCCCGTTCTAAAAATCCTCCTCATCGCTACTTTCCTCCTTCTTCTCCTTACCCTTGCCTTTCTTCATTTGGCGGGCTTTGAACGCTTTCCACTCTTGGAATTCGCGGTATTCTTCGTCGTTGTCCTTGACGGAAGTCTTCTTTGCTGCCGTCACCGTGGGATGGTTCGGGCAGTCCTTGATGAGGCCTTTCTTGCCGCATTTGAAGCAAAGGCCGTTCTTCTTCCTGCGCTCGCGTTCTTGAGGCGTCAGGTAAGTCTTGCGGGTCTTCCTCGTCGTCTCACCATTGTCATCTTCTCCTACCTCTGCCCTGTCAATATCCATCGCATAGGGATCTCTGGCCTTGGTGAAAGTGGGCGGCGCGATGAGCGTCCTGCGCACTTCGACTTCAAGGGCTTTGTCGAGCCAACCTGCGAGGTCGGTAGGGGTGGTGTCGAATGCAAGGATGGCTGCGAGAATCTCGCGTTTCAATCCATTGCGGAAGAACATGGTGCGGGTGATTTCTTCTTCTATGCCGGTGTCGGCGATGATGGTGCGGAATAGGGATGCATAGGCGGCGACGCTGCCGGTTTGTTTCAGGGTGGAAATACGCCTAATGGCGGTTTGGGCACTGTTCTTGGGGAAGAAGGTCCCCTTGAACTTCTCGACGTACTTGAGGAAGGTTCCGTAAGTTTTCGCAGCGGAAGCTGCTTTGAGGTGGCCTTCGTCCCACTTAGCTGCTTCGCCTTTGGTCATGCGACTCAAAGCGAATATGACTTTCTTCTTGTCGGAGTCGTAGATTTCGTCGTTCATGTCAAGGTAGGCTTCGAGTTGGAGAGCCCATCCTTGAGCGGTTCTGGTGTCGCCATTGAAAGGCGCGGGAGGTGTGCCGATTTCTCTGGGCATGTCGTCGTCTGATGTGGGGGTTTTCTGGGGGGGTTCGTAGGTCTGGGTCCAAAAGTTCCAGGTGTGTCCTTCAGGTGCGTGTTCTTTCTTGTGGTCACTCCACTGGGAGAGAGTCCACTGTCTTCCGTCTGCGTCGGTGAAGACTGGTTCTAGGTCGCCGTCCTGGGTAAATCCAGGAGGTAGTCTGAGTCCTGATGCCGTAGTGCTAGTTCAAGACGCCTGTTCGAGTGAACGGCATAGTAAAGAAGTAACTTGACCTTTTGTTACGCTCAGCGTCACAAAGACGTCTGGTATCAAAGATCAAAGTAGAGTTCGATTGCACAAGTAAAGCTAGAGTCTGCAGGCCCTGGTCTGCATAGGTCAAGTTAAGGAATACATGCGATAAGTAGGTGGTTTAAATAGGGAATGGGACGAATGTTCAAGCGGAGCTTGTAAATGAGGATCCAATCAGAAAAGAGAATGAGAATCGTACGATAGAATATGATAGAAAGTGATGGAAACGGATAGAATATAGGAGAAACGAGTAGAACTGTAACACTCACAGCGAGTGAGCAGCATTACGCTCAGATTACATAGCAATTTCCCTCAGCAGGCATGCACGGTGTTGTAGTAACCCAGTGTAGAAAAACAGAGTGTCTGGTGATTCGTGGAAGGACGATGATGGCAAAAGGCAAGTTTATGTGACTACTACTAGGACATGCGCGCTACACAAGGTAATTGATTACGTAAGCTAGAGTAAGATTCGACCAACATCCAGTGCAAATTGCAATGATGCATCGTAATGAAGCTTGGGTATCACTTCATCTAAGGCATAGGGATCATCTCTCTGCAAACACTGCTTTGCCAGATCAGCAAGTTGATTTGATGCATGGATGCAGCGGCCCGCTCCTGCCGAAGATCATGTGCATCTATGCTTCCAGCCGGATGCAGAGCAGATCATCAGAATCCAGATAAGTTTCGGTCGCAAGCAAAACTGCTCTGTAGATGTGGCTGTCGGCATGGCAAACACTAAGTATTTCGCGGAGTAACTCTTCAGCCGCTTCAGCATCTGCCTTTAATTACCGTTTCGTGAAGCAAGACAGCAGAGCAATGACAAGATGGAGCTGGGTGATGGGTCGGTCAGGATGGCCAGTGGGACACAAATCAAGGTCGTCTTGAAAAGAGAGATAGGGATCTCGAGGTTGGGGTGTGTTCTATTAGCTTGGCAACTAACAAACTTCGCCGTAGCTAGATTAAACAGTACTGCAGGGCGGCAGGGATGACTCATGGGGCAGAGATCAGAGGCGCGTTCAAAGTGCTTTATGGATTGGCCGAGATCCCTACTGGTCTGCGTTCTGCGGTATCGTGCGAGAAGACCACGTCCGGCATCCGTCTGCAGGCTGACGTGTGCATATCGTGGGACGTAAGCTACACATTACAAGCTCTCAGCATCAGAATATCTGACTGCATTGATCACTCACTGTAGTGCTAAGGGGGCAAAGAAATGTGGCGTCATTTTCATTAGAACGTAGTTACTCCACTGTCATGAACAGGGAAGTACACGAGGATGCGACTTCCTCCTCCTTGGGCTGAAATATCATGGCTTTGGTACTCGTTAATATCTGCAGGCGTGATCTGTGCGGAGGACTTCTCCATGACAAAGCATTGGGTCACTTCCGTGATTCAAAGTTGGTTGAAAATCTTTGGACCATCCCAGGGAAGAAGCATGTTAAGCGTAGTCTTTGAAGCGTCTGGTCCTGTGGGTTTGATACCATCAGTAGTAACTGTACCACATCTGTGAAACGAATCATCCAGATCCACAAGACGAACTAGGACAGTGGGCATAATCAGCTGAGGACCGCAGGATAGCTCCGCCCATGCTTTCCACTGGTGAAAGTCAGAGTTATGGAGTGCGGGCCCAAGGGCAAGTTCCGGTACACTCGCGACACACAGTTAAAGTGATAGAATATGACATAGTATATATGTCAGGCGACGATACAGTTTGGAACGACGGTTCCATCAGTAGGATAGACCACGCCGTTCTGCGCCTGTTGAGTACAGAGCCAACAATGTTGAGCAGAAGTCAGCAGACTGCGCTTGAGAAAAACCGACCTCTTTCGATTCAGCACGCGGGAGGTTGTGGGTCAATTGTCAATTTGTCGACAGTCTAGTAATTCAATGAACATTGTAAAAAAAATTGACCATCTTCCTTTGATAAGTCCGACTGGGCTCGAGAGACTGCAAAACAAAAACGCTTGTTCAAATCCGGTTTATTATGTAATACATTTCAGCTTCTCTGCAGTGCGCAGTGCGCACAAAGTTCATTTTTTCTATTGCATCTCCGAGAGTCAGGATCACATCATGATATGCATGATCTTGGCATGACCATGATTCATGATGCATCGTATTTCAAGTGTACATCGTGATAAATCTGATTATCAGCGGGTAGTTTTCTCACCTCCTCCAATGCATTGGTCACGTCTCGATGAAGAGTTGCTACACCAGGACCGAAATATCAAGCACGAAGTTTTTGTCCTGTAAGCAAATATTTCGTTGGGTCTGAGCACTTTCGGGCAGTGACACCTTCAAATTCAAGTTGCATAGCAAACACGTTCAGATACCAGCTTCACCGGTTCCGCAACTGATAAGTGAGGACCAGGAGCGCTGGATATAAATACCTGCCTGATGGTTGCCGATCTAAGGTCTCCAAGATCAGGATGATGATATATTAAGTTCTGCTAAAACTACGATATACACGACGAATGTGCCAGCCCTTGTACATCCCCAGGGCATCATCTTCGCCATGACTTTCTCGAAAGGCATTTCGCAGGATAGTGCTGCTATAATGTCAACAGTCCTGGAAGGCATGTTATACGGTCAGTATCTCAATAAGTTTGGCCACCCCCCACACCCACCAAGCTAGTGTACTCCAGGCTTTTCTGTCCTTATGTTTATTGGCACCATGTGGGCACTAACCTACAAACGTCACATACGAGACGCGAATCGTCCAATCACTGCTGTGGCCGTCCTGCTGTTGGTGCTGAGTACCGCGGTTAGCTTCTTGCCTTTGATATTCGATATCATCTGCTGACTTCCTCCAAGCACATGGTCGTAGACATCATTCGGACTGAAGACGGGTTGGTGAAGTACCGCAGTATTTCAGGCGGCTCAGAGGCGTTCTTCGCAGACGTTCCCGGAGAAATATTTGTGATCAAGAACGTGATATTCGTTTTGCAAACTTTGGTCGCCGACGGGGTGGTGGTGGGTCCAATCTTTTATTTTCCAGTATGAAATTGATATTGAAAGGCAACAAGATTTATCGTTGCTATGTCGTTTGGCAGACCGTCTGGGTTACCATCCTACCAAGCATACTGTGGTGTAGTGTCGCAGGTGATGTTGCAATCACACACAAGAAGCTGCCTTTTCTGATAACACCCTCGAAGCCACTGGCGTTTATTCAGCTTTTAACTTTTCTCGAGTTGCGCATATGGCTAGCGTCTCCGGCAGCGTCCCCAGCCCAGCGGCTCGTGAATGGATCTTGACATTCTATGCATTGGCATTTGTAACGAATTTATTGAGTTCAGGTAAGTACACTTCTGCCTGAGCGTGGCATTGTGGCCTCACACTGAATTTGTTCAGGGTTACTGGTGTTTCGTATCTGGAAAATCGAACGCAGTGTCTCTACCTCTCGCGCTACGAAATCCACCACGACGAGCATATTACGGGTAATTGTGGATGCTGCTATTGTGTACTCCATAGCGCTCCTCTGCACCCTAATCACTTCCGTCTGCTCGAACAATGGAACGTTTGTCATGATAGACATAGTAGGTTCACATATAACACATCGTCGAAAGTTACTAAGTAATCTTCGACCAAATAGCTCATGCCCATCATCTCCATTGTTTTCTACATGGTGATGATCCGAATCGCAATCAGTAGAAACAGTCATGTTTTGACTGTCCGTGGATGGTCCACCAGTGAGACGAATCGGGGAAACTTGCAGCAATATCCTTTGAAGCCTATGCAGGTCCATATATCTCAGTTGACGCACAATGATGGTGCCTCAATGTACAGAAATGGGAATCACGACCGACCATCGACAGGCAAGGAGGTGCCTGCGGAAGGGGCATCTTACGACGTGTAATGAAGATGAACGTAATGACTTCATGAAAATCGATTGTATCTTGATAGTACCAGGTGCATATTGCATATATACTGCGTTTGCATTCAATCCATGCGTAGGAGTTGCTCTTCGATGTTATTATACAACTGATCATAATGTTCGGCAACCCAGCAATCAGCCATTCGGCTTTAACATTGTCCCATCATGCCGTCAGTCCGTACGAAGTCGCCGTTGTCATCCTCAGTCGCATCCACGAAGGCACCACGCTGCCTATGAATTCAAAAACAGACAAGTGCCGGCCCGAGAAGCAAGCCAGAAAAGCGTGTGGTGATCATGAATTCGATACCCTTCAAGAGTTTATTAAGACAACGCACACGACGAGCAATAACGATTGGATACAGTAAAATCGACATACCCGTAGAATGCGGTCAAAACCAGTCTACAGGCAGAAACACAACCTTCGATGCGCTCCGACATTGATTCCGGTCTGCCGTGATGTGGTTGGCTGTCGTGATTCCTGATTCCTGATTCGGTGAAGAAGGGGTAGAAGGAACATCATGATGGTCTTCATTATGCGTCAAGTCATCATCTTTGCGGGAGCACCCACTGCAGCGTTCCACTGTAAATGGATGTATCAGACCCGATATACATTCTATTTCATTCCGGCTCGTCTGCGACTCAACGTTCCTGTGTTGAAGCGCCATCCAGTCTTTTGTACTTGACATGCCCTTCTGTCTGTAAAATACACTTTGCACAGCAGGAATTGTAACAACGCGTAGTTAGCAAGGGGATATAATCGTCCACGATGGGCTCATCATAGTACCGTTCGCAAAACCAATCTAAAAGCAGAAACACACCCGGCTGCTTTCATGTTCTCCGGATGTGGTCTGCCCTGCCGATGTGGATAGCCGTTGCGCATCGGGATTCGGTGAAGTAGGGGAAGAAACATAGTCTTCATCACGAATCCATTCATCATCTTTAGCGGGAGCATCTGCTGCAGCGTTCCGCTGTAAAAGGATGCGTGAGATCTAGACGACAGTGACCGAAAATGAGTCGTACGAACCTCTTTACCCTGTGCGAGAGGAACTTCGACGATGGCCGGTGATGTCTGACCTTTCCGAATGGGCCACAAGGATTGGGCAGTGGGTGGTACTGGTGGGGGTCGGGACTAGAAAATAAAATGTAAGTCAAATATGTGATTACGGCAGTCCCCACTCACGTTCTCGTGGGGATTTATATGTGAACGAGGTAAGGGCGCTGTAGCAGGGAACTGCGAGGGAAACATCAAGTCAACTGGGAAGCAAACAAATAAAGGAAACATACGTCCAAAGGGTTACGAGGCTGATTGTTCCGAATAGGACTAACTGCGTCTGTATGGGAGGAGGGAAGCAGTTTGCGCAGAAAGCGGGGAAAACCTGTGTTCCTTGCCGGCAGAGGTGTTGGCGGGCGGTGGATGGCAGATATAACAGGCAATATCACTGGTTGACGGCGACGTGTTGCGTCGGACTGTAATAAAGAATGGTGTGGCGTTGTGAGTAGAAGAGCTGGACAACGTACATTGAGCATATTAGCGAGGTGTGGACGTTTAGGTTTACTGGTCTGTAAGAGACTTTAGCGCATAAATAATGAATCTATGCGGGTGTATGCGTACACTAGGCTGTGCCTCTCCGGCAAGCCCGGCGCTAGCGAGGATGTTGGGTGGAACGTTGCATATGTAGATATTCGGTTCATCTTTGGTCGTGTAAGCCAGTTGGCGTGAATCAGGTGAGAGGGTGAGGGCGACGGGACATTGGACGTCGGATGAAACGAGTAGCTGGCGGGACTCGAAGGACCAGAGCTTGTTATGCGGCGATGGAGTAAGTCAACGTCAGTAACGAGTATTGGAAATTTCTGGAGCTACAACAATAGTGGATGTCCTGGAGCGTAAAGGACACCGTGGGAAAACGAATCGAGAACAAGCATCTATCATATCATCTAAAAGGTAATGGAGTCCTTGCGGCACAGGCTGAGAATTAAAGCTGGTGGTATAAACGAAGGCGAGAAAATAGTTGCCAGTGTGGACACTTATGACCGCAGAAGTGCCAGCGTCCAGCGAAGTTTAAACCCTCAATGTTTGCATCGATATCGCCAGACATATTACATCCATGCAAACACGCACACTTCGCCTTTTTAGTCTCGTCGGTTCTGATGCTTAGCTGTGGGCTGTGGCCATATTGATTTACCGCTTCAAAGCCTATTACGCTTATTCTCAACCAATCATTCACACGGTCCCTGCAACGTCCCTAACAATGTTGTAACAACTAGTACGTATGAGATACAATGGTTAAATCCCCTTGGTCGCGCAAGTGGAAGCCTCGACCCATCAGGCCTCAGGACCCGAACAGAACTTTGTCCCATTCCGTCATAAGCCAAGGCGTGCAAAGTGTTGGGACTGCTGCCCGGACTCGGATGGCAGAAAGTGAGTTCTTGTCAGTTCTTATCTTCTCGCGTGACATACTTCTGACAGCAGTGGGATGGGGTTGAGGCCTGAGGGCGGTGACATTCATGCCGTGCTTCACAATATTCGAAAGCCTGGAATGCTGTGCTGTTCTCGAGCCTCGCAGCCTCCTCGTGTTGGCTGTTTCAATCAACGGCGCACCTACAACACACATCTGCTGTACAAGTCTGACGTTTATTGATGAATCTATAGGTAATTCAATGAGCTGCGAGCCGCTTTTGTCCCGTTGACCACAGTTCTGCACATCGCAGCGCAGTGTGGATGCCGCGTGCATGCTATGGTCCCTTCCTTTATAATCTGTCAGGCATTTGCGAGCACTGCAGTTTTCCGTTATCTCTAGTACACATCTTGCTCCCAAGTGCCAGTTTGCATCCCTCAGCCATATGTCAAACTTCGTTCCTCATCCTCTTGATGATTGCCCTCCACCCTTGGAGGAGCCGAGTCACCCAGTACGCCCCCAGGACCCCGAGACGAACCTCTCGATCGGTGAAATGCTACAATTCGCCGTCAATAGTATGCACCATCTTTTTTCATTCAGCACATACCAATGATTTCCCAAAGCCATTCTGGCAACACTTTATTTCGTCATTACTCTGCTGTTTTGTTTCGCCACAGACACTGTGCCAGACCCACTCGATGATGCCCTCCCAGCCTTGGGTGAGGAGGTAAGCTACCCAGAACACCCCCAAGACCCGGGAGAGGCACACCTCAGTCGAGTGCAACAGATCGTCGTTACTGGTATGTGATATCAAACTCAGTGTCGCATGAATTGACGACTTCTCCCAAGCCATTCGCGCGACTGATCTAACTCTTGGTCTCCAACGGATTCCCGCTGGCTTCCATGTGGTAGTCAAGGTTCGCGGGATCGAATTCCGAACATGCAACAAGCCTGTGCACGTAGACCAGGCTGTTGTCGAATGGAACGAGCCCATACTTCTGTAAGCTGTCCTTAATCCCATCTTTCTTGCAGGTGTTGAGAAAGACTCTAGGCCATGTGAACGATCTTCTCTCGTTCGGGTCAGCTTGTATGCCTCATTTGAACTGGGTCTCATGCTCGGTCATGGAGAAGTCCTTCGCACATTCGAGATATCCGTGGGTGAATTATTGGATCGCAGTGAACAGTCACGTCGTCAGTAACGTCTGTTGCAACTTACTCCTGACAGATGTTGACGAGTATCACAGCCATAGTTTTTCAGCCCAAGCAGGAGGAAGTCGTATCCCCGTGTACTTCGCTGTTCATGACAGTGGAGCAGCGACGATCTGATGAAAACTACGCTGCAGTTCTTGAACCGCTTACCGCCGTGAGTGATCAATGCCAGTCTGATATGCTGATGCTGAGAGCTTGTAATGTGTAGCTTACGTCCGACGACATGCACGCGTTAGTACAAAGGACGGATGCCGGACATGGTCTTCTCGCACGATACCGAAGGACACAGGACACTAGGGATCTCGACCAATCCATAACGCACCTTGAACGTGCGTCTGATCTCTGCGCCATAGATCATCCATGCCGCCCTGCAGCACTATTCAATCTAGCTTCCGCGAAGTTTGTTAATTGCCAAGTAAATGGAACATCCCTCGACCTCGACCTCGACCTCGACCTCGACATCCCCATCTCTCTTTTTCAAGACGCCCTTGCTTTGCGTCCTACTGGTCATCCTGACCGACCCACGACCCAGCTCCATCTTGCCATTTCTCTGCTGTCTCGCTTTGCGAAACGGGGATTTGAAACAGATGCCGATGCGGCGGAAGAGTTACTGAGCGAAGTCATCGAGGTTTGCCACTCCAGCAACCACATTTACAGAGCAGCTTTGCTTGCAATCGATACCTTTGCTCTACATAGAGCTGGAGGTATGGATGGACATGATATTGGGCACATGCAGCCCGATGCATCCATGCTTCCGTTGTCGCCAAAACGACTTGCTGATCGTGGAAAGTGGTGCTTGCAGAGAGATGATCCCCACGACTTAGATGAAGTGATCTCCCTTCATTACGATGCACTGCGATACAACGACAGTATGTATGATCGCCGAGGGCATTTGCTATCTAATCTGGCTGTATTGGTGCTCACTCGCTTCGAGCGCCGAGGCAATGACCAAGACTTAGACGAGGTCATCACGCGTCTTAGGGAAGTGCTGGATTTGTTCCTAGTCGGTCACCCGGATCGGTCCACGTCATTAGATTTCCTTGCGACTATGCTCTCCACCCGCTTCAAGCGCCGAGGCAATCACCAAGACTTGGATGACGCTATCATGCTTCACAGGGACGCGCTGGCTTTACGTCCAGTCGGTCACCCAGATCGGTCCTCGTCGTTTGATAACCTTGCGATTGTGCTCTTTATCCGTTTCCAGCACCGAGGCAATGACCAAGACTTGGATGACGCTGTCATGCTTCACAGGGATGCGCTGGCTTTACGTCCAGTCGGTCACCCAGGTCGGTCCACGTCATTAAATAACCTTGCGAATGTGCTCGCCACCCGCTTCATGCAGCGAGGCAACGATCAAGACTTGGATGATGCTGTCATGCTTCACAGGGACGCACTGGCTTTACATCCAGTCGGTCACCCAGATCGGTCCTCGTCATTAAATAACCTTGCGACTATGCTCTCCACCCGCTTCGAGCACCGAGGCAATGACCAAGACTTGGATGACGCTGTCATGCTTCACAGGGATGCGCTGGCTTTACGTCCAGTCGGTCACCCAGATCGGTCCTCGATATTAAATAACCTTGCAACTGTGCTCTCCACCCGCTTCCAGCACCGAGGCAATGACAAAGACTTGGATGATGCTGTCATGCTTCACAGGGACGCGCTGGATTTATGTCCAGTCGGTCACTCAGATCGGTCCTTGTCATTAGATAATCTTGCCGGTGTGCTCTCCACCCGCTTCCAGCACCGAGGCAATCACCAAGACTTGGATGATGCTGTCATGCTTATCAGGGACGCAATGGCCTTACGCCCAGTCGGTCACCCACATCGGTCCTCCTTATTAAATAACCTTGCGACTGTGCTCTCCACCCGCTTCCAGCACCGAGGCAATGACCAAGACTTGGATGATGCTGTCATGCTTCACAGGGACGCGCTGGCTTTATGTCCAGTCGGTCACTCAAATCGTTCCTTGACATCAAATAACCTTGCCGGTGTGCTCTCCACCCGCTTCGAGCACCGAGGCAATGACCAAGACTTGGATGACGCTATCGTCTTTTACAGGGATGCGCTGGCCTTACGTCCAGTCGGTCACCCGGATCGGTCCTCGTCATTAAATAGCCTTGCGAGTGTGCTCTACACCCGCTTCAAGCACCGAGGCAATGACCAAGACTTGGATGATGCTGTCATGCTTCACAGGGACGCGCTGACTTTACGTCCAGTCGGTCACCCACATCGGTCCTTGTCATTAAATAACCTTGCGGCTGTGCTCTCCACCCGCTTCGAGCACCGAGGCAATGACCAAGACTTGGATGACGCTATCATGCTTCACAGGGACGCAATGGCCCTACGCCCAGTCGGTCACCAAGATCAGTCCTTGTCATTAAATAATCTTGCGGCTGTGCTCTCCATCCGCTTCGAGCACCGAGGCAATGACCAAGACTTGGATGATGCTGTCATGCTTCACAGGGACGCGCTGGCTTTATGTCCAGTCGGTCAATCAGATCGGTCCTCGACAATAAATAACCTTGCCAGTGTGCTCTACACCCGCTTCAAGCACAGAGGCGATGACCAAGACTTGGATGACGCTGTCATGCTTCACAGGGACGCGCTGGCTTTACGTCCAGTCGGTCACCCAGATCGGTCCAGGTCGTTGAATAACCTTGCGAATGTGCTCTCCACCCGCTTCGAGCACCGAGGCAATGACCAAGACTTGGATGACGCTATCGTCTTTTACAGGGATGCGCTGGCCTTACGCCCAGTCGGTCACCCAGATCGGTCCATGTCATTAAATAACCTTGGGAATATGCTCTCTACCCGCTTCAAGCACCGACGCGATCGAGAAGACCTCCATGAGTCACAAGAGAATCTCCGCTGTGCATTGACTCTGTTGACGCAACATGATTCTCGTCTATTAATCGTCCATCAATCGCTAGCTAACGTCTATATGTTGTTCCATCAATCGGGACTTAACGGCATTGGTGAACACATTGACAGTTCGGCTGCTGCCATGCATCATCTCAAGGCAGCAGCAAATCTTGTCTCCGGAGGTTTGCAACGTCGCCTGCGAGCAAGTCTGCGTTGGGTTTACGATGCTGATCAACTTTCACATGATACCGCACTGGAGGCTTATGCAACTTCCATGCAGCTTCTGGACGCTTACATGTCCGCGACAGCTTCAGTATCATCTCGTCACAATGCCATGAAGGACTTTCCAAGTACGCTTGCCGTGGATGCTGCTTCATGTGCTCTTCGTCGCGGTGATGTACGTCGCGCTGTCGAGTTGCTAGAACAAGGCAGGACTGTCATCTGGACCCAGATGACACGACTCCGCATGCCTCTTGACGGCCTCCAAGATCTCGGTGATCATGCAGTGGCCTTGATGAAGAAATTCAGACACTTCAGCTCTCTCCTTGATGCACCTCCTACGAATCATCCAGAAGGGTCCCCAAGAGTCAATGTAGAAGCAGAAGCAAGCCGGTACCGACGTCTAGTGGAGGACTGGAATAGAGTTGTAGAAGATATTCGGAATAACGAGGGCTTCTCTCGCTTCCTACTTCCCCCTTTGTTCTCAGATCTTCAAGATGCAGCTCGGGATGGGCCTATCATCGTGCTCGTTGCAAGCAAGTCGTCTTGCGATGCCATTATTATCCCGCACAAGCAATCTCCGATCAGCATCAAACTCCGTATCAATTCGGAGACACTCCAAAATTTGGTGCACAGATTCCAATCAGCAAGTCAACCACAGGCCGCTCCCAACCCCCCCGAAGCTGCTCCCACACCTACTCCCAAACCCGCTTCTGAAGCTGTGCCCACACCCGCTCCCAAAAGCACCCACTCGGCGCTGATGAAAGCTTTGAGGGAGTTATGGAACGACATCGTCTACCCAGTGGTCGAACATCTGGGCGCAGTTGCACCATCACGTTCCCGGATATGGTGGTGCCCGACAGGTGCCTTCAATTTCTTGCCGTTGCACGCCGCTGGCGAGTACAGGGCACACGGACAGTCCCTTTCGCAGCTGTATATCTCTTCATACACGCCATCGCTTACCGCCCTGATCAGGACTCGCAGGAGTCATGACAGATCCCTGTCAGTGCCCTTTGCTGCCATCGGTCAGAATCACCCAGCTGGTCATCCATTCACTTTGGAGTGTGTGGAGCCCGAACTAGAATTGGTGCGGAGTCTTTTGCCCCCTCCTCCGACTGTTTCCTTCACCAAAATAACGAGCGTTGAGGCAACGAAATCGAGAGCATTGGATGCATTGCGAGACAATACCTGGCTTCATTTTTCGTGTCACGGGACACAGAACTATACAGAACCCTTCAAGTCGGCCTTCCTCATGCGCGACCAACCGCTTTCACTCCTCGATATCGCACAAACGGATCTGTCTAGGCATGAATTAGCCTTTCTTTCTGCCTGTGAAACCGCTGTTGGTGATGCCAATACGCCTGACGAAGTCATACACCTGGCGGCTAGCCTTCAATTTGCTGGTGTGCAGAGTGTAGTTGGGACATTATGGAGCGTCAACGATAGTACGGTGCAGCGCTTAGTCGAGGCATTCTACAAGAACTTGTGCGGGGATGGCAAGATGAATTCCAAGCGAGCTGCCCGAGCGCTGCACCGAGCGGTCCAGTTGTTGGCTAGTGACAAGGACATGCCCTTGGACCAGCGCATAGTTTTCATCCATATTGGCATATAATCATTTTCGTGCGTCCTCTCACTATGCTGATTAAACCCTTTTTGAGACACTCTGACGACTTCGTGTAGCATCTTCAGCCGTGACTGTTCGCTATTTCAGGCTTTGGGACTGTGGAAGTACTTCCAGGATCTCCGATATGTACACCTATAATTCCGAGTTGTATTCTCCAGCCTGTTGCCTCAGAACCAAAGGTGATCGCTTCTAATATGCACTAGTGATTTCTGCGTGAGAATGGTTCAACAAGTTGTACCATTGGTTCATGTATGTACCGCTCGGCGCTCAAGTTACGAGCAAGCCAAACCATCAAGATCTTGAGAGAGTACCGTGCAATGATGGACTCTGGAGATTTCTGCGTGTGTGCGGATATACCTGCCAGCAATTCATCGATCGTGTAATGAAGAAACCAACTATTTTGCATGGCAGTAAGGCCTGGCGTTCTTAAATGTACTGCCAGCCGACTCGGACATTCAGCATCGAAATCCAAGAGCTTGGCCCTGGCAGGATAGACACACCATAGACAAATGAAGTCGTTCGTTCTCAATCTGCAAGTGTTTTGTAAAGCAGAGAATAAAATTGAGAGATTGCGAGGCGTCGAGTCCAGGCGTAAATTATGATATAATGTTGTCGTAAAATGTGCGCGCTATGTATCAGAAGACAAAGAAACAGATGAATGATCTATAGCTATACATTGTGCTTGCATTGTACGCCCATCCTAAAATATTGGTCTACCAAAAGAAAACAAATGATCTGTACATCGTACCAGTGTTGTCCCATTATGTGTGCATCGTAATCCCCAATGTATAGGTAGTGTACATCGCCTCTGCTTAGAGGAAGGGGTGAATCAGCCTGCCACAGAGGCGAGAAGAGTAAGCGATAAGGCGATGTTCTTGTTGGAAGAAGCAAATCCAGAATGTGTTCTGATGCTGGTAGTGTTTCCGCGACCACTCGAGCTCGCGCAAGTACTAGTAGACAGGGATGTCAAGCCATTTCACCTGCACCGAGTTCGGGTCGGAAGGTCCGATTGAAGAGCTCAAGCCACTGGTTGCAAGCTGGGTAAAGCCAACGGCAGCGGGACTAGCATAGAAGACGGAGACACATTCTTCAGGGTGTCACCGACAATCCAAGCAGGAATGCTGTCAATGCCGACATCTAAGATCCCGCCAGCACATCTGAGATGTGGTATTCGCGTTGTCGATCATTGTGTCGTTGAGCGTGCCGATGACTGATTGCCCAGTTGGTACCGCCGAAGGAGATGTGGACTGTGATATTAGTGTCACAGGGTAGAAATAAATCAGTCTTCTGCTTGTCCTGCAGTGAGCACAGATACTGACGGAATGCATACGAGCCTTGCTAATCTCGCGCGGTGTAAATCTAATCGTTCACTGTTGCTGTAATCCTCAAAAATGGGACAAATACCTCATCTTCGTTTGCACTGGCTCATCCTCCTCACCGGAGATCAATGTCATTCGTATGATATATCTTACATCCTGTAGAAATACAATCGCGAGCACAGCAACAAATCAAACATGTATGCAATGCACCATGCTTGAGTTGATAGGAAGGAACCAATCATTCACGATGACCTGCATAAAACCTACACCAAAAGAAAAGGAAGACAAATCAAACATCAGATCAAGAACTACTCGATACAAAAAGCGCTCACCATCACCACCGAACTGAAAATCATCAATCATCTCATCCTCCACTTCCTCCATCTCAAAATCATCAACATCTTCGTCCACTACAAGATCCCCTCCCTCCCCATCGTTACCCTCATCCTCGTCCTCTTCGTGCGTTTCAACCAGTGAGGGCGGGCCAGCTTGCTCGGCGATAGTGGGAGAAGGCGGATCAGAAACTGCACCTTCACCCAGCTCATCATCATCACTAGACTCAATAGGCTCCAGCCCAGGCAAAAAGTCACTCTGCCCTTCCACGCCTTGAGCTGGCACAAGTTGAACAGGCACATGGATCTGATTTGCCTGCTGAGGCTGAGGCGGGATCATCACCATGCGCCGTGCAGGCTGAGAAGGCCTGTTTTGTTCTGAAGACGGGTACCAGTTGAAAAAGAGCCCGGTGTGCGTCATCTGCAGACATGAGATGAAAGATAGGTGTCGGCTATGGTCGTATTTTGCGATGCGGCAGACAGATAGGCCAGGGCGAGGCGGGGCCTCCGCAGTGAGCTTGCTGATTTCGGGGTCTAGGGACACGATAAATAGACCCTTACGCTGCGATGGGTTTAGCACTGAGAAGTCTAGATGTGGGAGTAGACACTTACGGTCGCAATTGCGGCTTTTTCATTTGATTCTCCGAGGGCTAGATAGACCGAGATGTCTCGGACGTTGTCGAGGGAGTGATTGAAGTTGAGGAGGATTGCTGTGTCGTTGAGAGTCGCCTCGCGATGGATAAGTCGTTCGAAGCCGGGCATCCAGATGAAGATCCCTGATGCAGTGAGTACTCCTATGTCCTTGCCCGAGGAAGATACATGGGCTGCACAAACAGTGAGTAGATTGTGTAGATCGACGTGTATGACTTACCAGCAACAAAGTTGCTCTGGCATGTGGAAGAGACGTGATATGCTTCGTGAAGTAGTTGGGGCTGGAAGAGCGAAGAAGCGCACGGGACATCGTCGCTATCTGGAAGCACGTCCCAGTAGGTGCACGGCAAATCTTTCATGCCCAAGTGATAGACCAAGGCCCCACCGCCCCTTGCAAAAACACGTAGTTGAATGGACCCGCAGAAGAAAGCGTATTGGTCGTTGACTTCAACATAGTTGAGGCGTCCTAGTGTCCCGCCTTGATTCGGTGCTTGTATATTACCAATCGTTTCAACAAGACGGGAAGTCGGCACGTCCCACAAATAAGCGTTATTTGCGCCAGCCGACAGCAACGTTGGGTACGACAAGCGGAACGCACGGGTAACCTCGGGCATCTGGAGGAGGGCCCACGGTCTGAAATGGCCGCGATTTGTTGGGGAGGCAAAACGCTGAGCGGCTTCTTGCGACGCTTTAAACATGGATTCGTCAGGTTTGAAGTCCTCTGGCATCTCAGAGTCCCGGAAGTCGCGGGCATAGCGCCATACTTCCTTGTTGTTGTCGTGGCGATTGAAGATGATGTAGCCGTGGTCATATTCGCAGTGAGCGTAATCGTCTACATGAGTCTGTTTGTTCGGAACGGTTCAGGATGGGGTAAACGGGCATATGAGTCAACTTACTGTTGCCCAAAGTACGCGATCAGTGTTATAATCGGTCACTGAGAGGCCTCCGGTGTGGCGGGTGGTTATCACGAATTTCTCCTTCTCATCAACCTTCATTCGATGCACGAATTTGCCGGTGGCATTCAGCTCTCTTGCGACGGATGGAGCCTTACCTCGCCAACCCCTCTCGATCTGCAATCGTCTCTGACCTAGCAGAGATGGTCAAAAGGTATCAGCTGCACTTGGAGAAGCACAGACAGAATTGCGACCAGTCTCTTTTCTTCCTATCCGGTTTTTGACCTGATGAATCTGCCTGAAGATCGACAAGGAGGACGAAGCGATGTAAGATGGCTGCGTTCCGGTAAACTGCCTGAACGTTGTCTGTAATCAGACCATGCCATTCTCTGGACACCAGCGAGACATTGCGGAGAGATTGTAATGGGAGATAGGATGCTATGTAGAGAGCTATCTCTGTGGGTAGTTCGTGCAGCATCGTTGATGAGGTGAAGCTGGTCGAAGTCACAATATTCGCGGAGTTGTAATATCCTTGTTTATATTTCCGACGAGCCTATCACTGATCAAGTGATTCACTTCCTTCCCTACCGTAATAGCAAACGGTCTCATTCACGAAATGCGATCGACTTGAGCGAGACTATCAGCGAACCTGAATCCGTCATTAACTTCAACGAGAACGTGTACCTCAACATGCAAAATGCTGCTATATCCACTGCGACTTACGTAGGACAGGCTCGACAAACAATAGAGCAGCTATCGACGAATAAATACAGATGGATCGCAACTCCACCATGTGTGCATGACGTTGACGCATCCAGGGTTCTAGACGCGATGCTGAGGAACGCTCACGGGACCGGTGGCGAAAGCTCCGAACGTTATACTGCCTGTGCTATTTGTGCATGTCCTGAGATCCACGAGCAAGTCAATCTCGCAAGCATTTGGTTCATGTATCTGCTCTGGCCATGTAAATTAGAACTTTAAGATGTTTACCACGGACACTAACACGATTTCTTCGTTGATAGTCACAGCCGGAACCCTTCAACCATCAGACTTGGTTTCTGGTCAGGCCACGCCCGACACCTATGGCAGCCTGGTAAGTGCCAGTCCGGAACAGAGTAGCAGATTCAGGACCGATGTGCGTCTTACTAGTTAAAAGGCAGCTTTGGCATTAACTTCCAACAGGTTAATCGACGAGACGGTTATAGATGCGTTATTTCAGGTGTCTGGGATGGAGCACACAAACCCGCTGGTGTCAAGCAGGGTTGGGTAACCTTACAAGCAACGCACATCCTGAAACGGACTGTCGGGGGTTTCACCATGGACCGGGTAAGGATGTCTCTCCTAGGTTATCATTAATATCAACCCTCAAGTTGGATTCTGCAGGCGCATACCGCGGCTGCAACGTGGAATATCATCCGGCATTACTCAGGAATGTCCGAAGAAACTATTCAAAACATGGAAAGGCTTGCAGACGACCCTTCTAATGCCATGATGCTCCAACACGATATCCACGATATTTTTGACAAGCTGAAAGTATACCTCGAGCAGACGGAGGTGAGCCCGTAGTCTTGCATCCTCGTAATACCTCATGTTGATCTGCGCACCAGCGAGAAAACGAGTACACAGTCAAGGACGTTGGGGGCGGGCCGTGGATACACCCTCTCGAGCTCCTCGGTAAAACCATCACCTTCCGGAATCACGATAGCCCTACACGAGACCTACCATTACCCAACCCTCATTTCATCGCACTACACGCAGGCATCTCCCGAATTTTACATATGAGCGGCGCATCCGAGGTATTCGCACAGATCTTGGACAAATATGATGGGGCAGCAGGTGGTAATGTCGCGAGTCTGAAAAGCAATGGAGATCCGGTACATCAACTATCTTCAATGATGTCTGCCCTGTTTATAGGCGCTTCATTGATTACTTAGTGCCTCGCAATTACATGGTTCGACAAGGACGGCAAAGTTAATAATGACATGAGTTATGGTTATGTTATGTTAATGCAATCGCAAATGTCAAACAAGATGCATATGGCGCACTTTTCTGTTGGAACTCTAGCGGCTCGCGACGTTAATGTTCTCTCTCACGAATATTCCCAAGTGCACATCACCAACAATTCAAACATGAGGAAACCACGCAATCAGACCTTGCTCATGCTTCCCTGGTTATTCACACACTCCTCTTTAATTTCACTTTCTCCGGAAACATTCGTGCAGCTGAGCAAAGGCTCGTCGGCGGAGTCGTTGCGCTTCACACTCCTATATCAAAGTGGTCAGCAATTTTATGTTGATAATTGTGATGCTCAATATCTACCATACTATCGGTTATCACAACATCGGAGTACTCAATTCAAGGATGGTATTGTCCAGGTATGCTTTCCGTTTCTCTTCGCGTGTCCACATCTTCCCCTAGCCATTCATACCACTCACCCACTCATACTTCTCCCGCTTATATTCCTCGTCAGCGCCACTACGAAACGGCATCCAGTGGACAGAAACTCAAAGAGAAGGCTCAATAAGACTTACACCCGATCTTTTATGTGACCTCGTCGCAGTACTTCCGCTACTTCATATCCCTTATCTCATCCTAAAACACGGGTATCGATCCAACGGTCTGAATTCGGCGCTGCAAAAACACGCCTAAGCTCACCACTACTCTAACTCACACTCACAACCCGCACATCTCGCACATGCATCCGGAGACGCCTAGTATCCTAAGGTAGTCCTGTGGACGCACCACGCGTGCAAAAGTCCAGTTAACAAGGCGGGGCTTGCAATGCTGGCTCAGGCTCGGCTTCAACAACTTTCGTGTGCACGGCTGCAAAATAGGTAAGCAAGAAATCAAAGAGTACACATAGAACTCACATTGTCGTGTAACTTTCCGTTTCCCAGCTGCTTTCTTCCTTCAACGCGCTTTTCGAAGGCTTGGTCCTCTTCGCCTTGGCGTCGATGTTTGCTAAGTATCTGGATGAGTTTGAGACTCATGTTACAGGAATCCTAGTCAGAACGGCCGTACCGATTCAGATTCATTGAGCTCCGTGTCTGGCTTGTTCGCCGATGTATTGGGCCGCAACAAGTTTGTAAGTATCTCACCAAACCTGTCGAACACGCCTTCCTCAGGCAGCTTATCGCGGTAGGATTGCAAACCTTCGATGAGTTTTTTGACCCATCGCTTACTTGAATGGGAGGAGAGACAAGCAGAATGTGATGTCGCGCCATTGACGGGGATCCTCAGCGAGTCTGAAATACTGGCAAAGCTTCTCCACAATATTTTCGGCTTGCTTTTCCTGTTAGAAGTTAAATGAATCAGAATTATGACGATGGAAAGAGACGGGGGCCGGCCTTCTCGATGAAAGAAAAGATGCAGCGCATGGTGCTTTTAAAAGTTTCCTCCGGTGTGGTCACCTGTGTACAAGTGACTGATGACTAAAATAATGATATGAAGAACGTTGATATTAAGAGTGAACTGAGGCATACCATTAGGCAGGTTGTTGTAGACCGCGTTGTCCTTAGTTGACAGCTCTTTGAAAAACACCTTCGCAAGGTCGGATATCCGTATTTCCTCGTTCTCTAGACACTTAGCCATCTCGCTTAGCTGACCTTTCACTTTGATCATCCCGTTGAGGATCAAGTGCATGAGCATCATCAGTGTGTTCTTCTTTACGACAAGATCTCCATCAGAAAGGCCTTGATATAATTCATTGCTGTTCTCGTCGATGATGTTGCTGAACGAGACTGTCACATCGCCGAGAGCAATGATAATGTTACTACGGATATTTGGGTCTCTTGAGGTCTCAAGGATCTTGAAGAGGAGAAGGTGGTGCTGATCGCAGAATGTTAGCTGACACAAAGGAACTTGTTAAACAAGAGAGTTGCGGCAGCACGAAGTGTGCGATTCTGTTGCATCTGTCAGTAGTGATGTAGAGAAAATGACTGGTCACTTGCCTTGAAGTTATGTGGGCTACCCCATGGACTAGCAACGTGCCGTACAACTTCAGCAACGACTGCTTTCCATAGAGCAGCTCAGGTTTGCGAACAGCAGACACCCGTTCACCAATCTCATCCTCTGCATTGCCAGCAACTTGGTCAAGCTCTTCGGTCTCCTTATTGGCTCTATTGGGTGAGCCCTCAGGCCTCAGCGCTCAGCTGCGAATTTTTCCGCTGCGTAAAATGCCATTTGATAGTTTGAGGGTGTCTACAAGTATACCCAACTGTTTCTAATCCTTTTGCCGCTTCCATTCCCTTTCCATCAGCTCCAAAAGACGATATGCTTGATGGTCACATACTCGATGACAAAAAGCAGCTCGTTGAGATGGAAGAATCACTGGCCCCGGGAGTTCCATCTCTTGATCCACGTCCATTGTCCGATCTATGTCCAACTCGGATGAAGGCTCTCCGGATTTTGCTCCCACGGGTGAGGTTCTTCACAAGGTTATTGTCGGGGAGCCAAGTAACGATGCCAAGAATGGGATGTGTGAAGTGCGTGAGGACGTCGCTGATGTTCGTCCCGTAGAGTACGGATTAGAGGGTGGTAAAAGGACGACGTGGTCTGCGGTCAGCGGGTAGGAATTGGTTGGAGTAATAGAACAGAAGGACCCATGAGAAGACGGAGCGAATGGAATGGGCGGGGCGACTGAATACAGGACGGGTATACTATGTACCGACAACCTGTTACTTTTAGCAGATGACTGATTAAAGTTTGTTGATTGGCAGCTAGACTCAGTGGCTGTGCTGACATGTTGACGATCCGCACGTGCATGCAGTAAATTTTTGGCAATGTGGCATAATCTCATACGTAATAGGTTTCCTTCGAGCGCTCATGTACTCTGTTCGAATTCTGCATGTTTGAACGTTTCCGACGTTGTTTACAGGCCGTCTCAAATAATCACGAACTTTCCATGGGCTACCTCTCACAGCAAGCACTCAAAAATCTCAAAAAATATTCCTATAAAGGTGTAGATGAGTGCGTACTGTTCCAAACACTTCGTTCTGATGTTAAACTTTGACCATAAGATCTTTGGTTTCGCATTATGTCCTCACTCCATACTGGAATTGGTTCATCAAGCTCTTTCCATTGACCATCGCTCCAAATACCGTATGTTGTCACCACCCAGCTCTTATCACCAATGAGATCAAGCTTGCCTAGATAACCTTGCTTGGCCTATGCATTGTCGTGTTTAATGTCGTCACGCTACTATACTATGACCCTCTCTACTTGACCGAGAAGGATGGAGCAACCGGGCCTCCTCAGTGGATCTATTTTACGTGCGTGTTCTGTTCTCTGCATCAAGCTTGTGTGACGCTGACCCTCGAAATGTAGTTGGGCGATCGGGCTGTTCATGTACCAAAGCTTCGATGCAGTAGATGGGTGAGTGGATACCTTCACGCAAAGTCGACATTCAATGCTTATCCAACCACAGGAAGCAGGCAAGGAGAACGGGAATGGCCGGTCCTTTGGGAGAAATGTTTGATCATGGTCTGAGAGCGCGTTTCCTGACGCGCACCGATACTTAACTTTTTTCTCGCAGGTTGCGACGCGCTCAACACTACAGTACGCTGCCTCCACTTCCAGTCATATATCTGGTCTCATACTTTGAACTTTTCAGCTCGAGGTCGTTCTTGCGTCTCGTGCCCTCAATCTTGGCCGCTCGTGGTGGACTGTTGCATCTCAAATAGCTACCCTTGCCAACTTTTACTTGACCACATGGGAAGAATATCATACTGGTGCGTTTAGTGACATGTACAAGTCATGATCATCTATCGACTTGTAATCTAGGAGTGTTGTACCTCGGTCCTTTCTCAGGTCCAGTAGAGGGTATCTTAATGATCGTCATCATTTATATTATATCAGGAATTTTTGGTAAGAGAACAGTATTTGGACAAAACATCTGATCTCACTCATCGCAGGTCCCACATTCTGGGACAAAAAAATCCTGACTGTCACCCGTCTAGATAGGATACCCCAAGTTGTTCAGCACATCCCCAACATCGGTCTTAATGAATCTTTCATGGTTTTCGGTGCTTTCGCTCTAGCTTTCAACATCGTCTCAAGGTGAATGCACCAGTGACCATCGTGTGTATATACTAACGCCCCCTCAGCTACCGCAACGTCATCAAAGCCACCAAAGCTGACGGGAAATCGAGTCTCAAACCTCTCATCTACCTCTTGCCCTTCGTTGTTTCAGCGACCCTCCAGATTTTCTGGTTGCTCAGCCCCTCTTACCACGACTCCGCTATCATTCACTCACCACTCTTCTTGCCGTTCCTTTGTGCGTGGGGTTTGCAATTTGCCCACCAAGTAGGAAGGATGATCTTGAGCCATGTTACACGTGGACCGTTCCCCCTGTGGCACAACATGTGGCTATGGAGTGTTGTCGGGGTAGTCGATGCCCAGCTCCCGTTCCTATTTGACAAGTGAGCATCGGGTGTCAATGCACTAACGTCGATGAAGCTCACTCGAGAATAGACCGTCATTTATACAGTCCACACCAAAGCGAACGGCGATGTTCATTTACCTGACGCTCGCAATTTCATGCATCACCTATGCACGCTTTTGTGCACTTGTCATTAGGGATATCACGGAGTTTCTCGGTATTGCTTGTTTTACCGTGCGTAAGAAGGACGCGGAGGGTGTGTGGAGGGAGACACGGGATATCCAGCAGGATGGGTATGTGAAACGGCTTTGATGCGAATGGGGGAGAAGTGGGATATAGAGCGTATTTCTGCGCGTAGTATTAGCTTAGGGTCAGACAATTCATTGCGTCATCGTCCACTAACATGCTTGAAATCGGCTCGCAGCTGCGGCTCGATATCAACAATGTTCAAATTTCTCGTGCGATATTTGTACACGACTGCTTCCCAATGACTCGCAAGTACTGGTGGTGTTGAGTTCTTGACAAATAGAGTTCACGAAAACAGAGTTGACGAAAGTCAACAAAGCAGTTCATGAAAACCAGGTCCACCTGGTAAAGCAGTGCATAAAAACTAAGTTCACCTCGTCTGCGACTGTGACAGACTGATCACACATCATAGTACCGTTCAGCAAGCTAAATCACCAGCAAATGGATATACACCCTACTGTCTGTAAAAATACACTTTGCGATTTTAATCTTCGTCCACGATGTCATTATGGTACCGTTGGAAAAGTCAGTCTAACAGCAGAAACACAAGCGAGCGCTTCCGTGCTCTCCAGTATCGATCTGCCCTGCTGTGGGTGGTCGTTGTGAATCGGGATTCGGTGAAGGAGGAGGAGAAACGTAGTCATCATCAGCAATCCATTCATCGTCTTTGGCGGGAGCATCGGCTGAAGCGTTCCGCTGTAAACGGATGCGTGAGATCTAGCAAACAGTGAGCGAAAATGAGGTGCGCGAACCTCTTTACCCTGTGCGAGAGGAACCTCGACAATAGCCGGTGATGCCCGACCTGTCCGAATGGGCCACCAGGATTGGGTAGTGGGCGGTACTGGCGGGGGCTGGGACTAGAAAATGAAATATAAGTCGGATATGTGAATATGGCAATCCCCACTCACGTCCTCGTGGAGATTTATATGTGAACGGGGTAGCGGCGCTGTAGCAGGGAACTGCAAGCGCGCCGTCGAGTCAATTCTACATGAAGCAAACAGATAAAGGAAACATACGTCTAGGGGATTACGAAGCCCATCGGTGCGAATAGGACGGATTGCATCCGTACGAGAAGAGGAAGGAAGGAGGTTGCGTAGAAAGCGGGGGAAACGTGTGTCCCTTGTAGGTGGAGGTCGTGGCGGGCGGGGGATGGGAGATATTACAGGCAATATCACTGGTTTACGGTGACGAGTTGCGTCGGACTGTAATAAGGGATGGTGTGGTGTAGAAGAGAAAAAGAGCAGGACCACGTACGTTGAGTAGCTTATTGGCGAGGCGTTGACGGTCAGGTTTACTGATCTGTAAGAGATTTTAGCACATAAATGATGGATCTATGCGAGTAAATACGTACACTAGCGAGGATGTTGGGTGGAATGTTGCATATATATATGTTGGGCTCATCAAAGGGTGTGTAAGCAAGTTGGCGTGAATCAGGCGAGAGGATGAGGGCGACGGGATGTTGGACGTCGAATGAAACGAGTAGCTGGCGAGACTCGAAGGACCAGAGCTTGATGGTGTCATCGAGAGAGGCACTGGCGAGAAGGGCACAATCAAATGAGAGTGATAGACGGGTGATGATGTGAGTGTGCCCTTTGAAGGAATCTCCGACAGTCTCCAACGTCGACGCGTCAAATTCATAGATCGAATGGTCGTCATCCCTGATGTTGAATGCGGCAACAATGGATTTGTCCTTGGTTGTCCACAATACCGTCGCAGGCCAAAAATAGCGTTGAGTAGATATACTTCTAGTGACATCGAATTTCTGTGTTTGGACGTCCCACACTTGAAGCCACCGCCCATTTGACAACACCGCCAGCTTCTTTGAGTTTTCCGAGAATCGAAGTGCTGGTGGGTCAGGAACACCATCACTGAATTCGAATGGACCAGCCACGAGGTCGCCTGTGTCCAAGCTCCATATCTGAACCCGCGTACAATCGGTCCTGGGCCCACCCGCAACCTGCGAACCCAATTTTATGAATGCACCCGCTAGCAGCGTGCTGTCTTCGGAGATGTCAATGGTCCGAACGATGTCCAAATCATCATAGAATGTTCTCACGATCCCCGTCTCAACCTCACGAACTTTGAGCTTCCCACCAGTAGTGACAACCCATTGACCATTCCTTGATACCCCCACCCTGACTGCGGCAATACCATACTCACAAACCTCCCGAGCTTCCTCAATTTCCTTACCCTCCCGCAGGTCCCATCGCCGAATGGTCTTATCGCCTGATCCGCTGATCATTTCCTTGCCGTCGGGGAAATAGGAAATAGATGAAATATATTTGACCTCGTGACGCTTGCCATCCGACGAGGTATAACCATGTGGTTGATGACCCTCCAAGGTCATCACCGGCGTCAGGATCAATTTGCTTGCTGCTTTACTGCGCCGTTTCGAGCTGGAAGCCATGAAGGTTGTATTTGCAGACAGGTCGGCAAGAACGACGATTGTGTTCAGTGAGTCGTCCTCGTGTGCTGAAGGCCTGACGTTTCCAAGTGCTTTTTAGGTCTCGAGAGCCGATGCACTTTCCCTGGTTGAACCAATCATCAGTTCATCGGTGCAGGATGCTCAGATGGGGGGTATTCACGTTACCAGGATGCAAGCAAGGACGAAGAGCAATCATTTGGTGGGTTTAGCTCTTTATATCTCCCCGTATTCATGGCTGTGTTATACAGCATGTCCTTTTTTAACTCCTTCTTATCAGCCCGCTCAAACTCTATCTGTTCCTTCACAGCAAGTTTGCTAACACAACTAGAAGATGACACTATTGAGCGCGGTGGAAATCCGATCATTTTCTTTTGTCGTAAACCTCACAAATGCTATGACAACACCCCATCCTATATTCTTCGTTGATACTGCCTCATCTTAGATGACATTCGCAAGTATACTGCGATATACGCAATGCGCCATGCTCGAATAAACACGAAGGAACCAATCATTCACGATGACTTGCATAAAGCCTACACCGAAGGAAAAATAATCAAATCAATGAACCCTCGTCACAACGAGCGCTTGTGCTACAAGTCTGATAGTGAGTAGGATAATAAGAGCAACAAGAATCATAGCAGAAGACCACTTAATGCTCATTGGTTTTGATCTGGATTGGTGCGTATGGTTCGTGTGAGTGGAGAAGGAGGGTCGTAACCTTCATCACGTATCCAGTCATCGTCGTGGCTGTGAATATCAGCTGCAATGTTATCATACAGATCCACTAATGAGACCTCGCAAACGGTTAGAAAAGTCAAGCTAGGGTACCTTGCTGCCTCGAGAGTCTGCTGAGCAATCTTTCCAGTGACATCGTGCATCGATTCAACATCGGAAAGACTGTCGGATCATGAAGTCATATATTTCATCCAATTTCTTGAGAAGACGGACCAATTTTGTCGCGCTCCGCTTGAGCAAGAATAATCTACACGGAACCATAACGTCTGAGCGGGAGGCAGAACTCTGGACAAAATAGAACGCACATTGGATGCAGTAGAAAGTACGCCCAGCGCCATCTTTGCGTATGGAGATACCTATGCCTTGATTAGTTTACTACCACATAAGAAGAACGGCCCATACATTGACAATTTTCTCAATAGCCGGACTCGTCTACGGGGTTGGTTCTGGAAGAAGAATGCGTCAGAGACATGACTCATGTAGGTACGATAGTTGGATATTTTGGCCTCCTCGTCAAAAGACGTATTGTCCTTCTCGGTGATTAGCGGAAGAATCTCGTGAGTGTCGTTGCACAGTAAGTTACAGAGATATGGGTTCGATATCACGAACGTTGTATCCAGGCATCTGTCCCCCCGAAACCCTTTTGGGATGTTCACGTTTAATACTGGATCGGCGGTACTTATCAATGTCGTTGACAATATTTGAAAGGTGAGCAGTGCATAGTACCCGGACGTTGCAAGGCTTGGGTTAAAACGACCTGTTCATTGTAAGTTTATCGATGAGACGAAGATGCAACTCACGAGAAACCTAGCCCATTTAGGAACACCCGCCAAACTACGCGCAAGAATTCCGTGCTGTAGCTTGCGACTGTTAGTTGCGGGGAAATGGTCGTACAAGGAGAGGAGTCGCAAGAGATGCGGGAGAGTTTGTATGAGACTAGACATATGCCTCCAGAAGGGCATGCTGTTGATCGTAGACCACATGTCTGGTTGGTGTTCGAAGGTGGAGGTACCACATTCGAGTATTTTCATAGTGGTAGGCACTTGTGATACATCATGGAACCTAGAGGATTGCCAAGCTTTTGAGGTATGCTGGAGTGATAGTACTTGGTCGAGACTGAGGATGAGCGAGTGAGATATAACACATACTACGTCCATAGTACTGGCAGCTGAATGTGGTCTCCTCAGCAGATATCGTTTTGTGAAACTCACGAGGTCCTTGATCATGAACATGCACACTCCATTAGATCTTTTGTTCCAGCAAGTGTGATTGTAAATTCTAATTCTTCTCTTCTGAAGACAAGACAAGTGAAACAAAAATGCCATTCTTAACCCGATCGTTGTGGAGATTGGCCTCCCAAACTTGATTGGCTCGGAAGGGATGATCGTACAGTGTAAGCTGGCGATGAGGCAATCTGTCGCCCAGCTATGATGCTAAGCGGATCATTTGAAGCTATGCTTGCGGCCGCCAACATTGCGCACGCCAAGATTGATATCTGGAGGACGCAAGGTTTGTAGTCAGCTTGTATCAGCGCCATACTGTTTCATCCTCACTTTGCATTTTCTGCAGTGGCTGGACCAGCACGAAAAACTTCATCACCGGGAGCTTTTGCACCCGTCGCACTCAATTAGCAAGGGGGGATTATCGTCCACGACTGACTCATCACTCATCATGGAACCACCAAGCTAGATTACCAGCAAATGAAGATACACCCTACTTTCTGTAAAATATACTTTACAATTTGAACAAGGCGTAGTTAGCAAAGGGAGATCGTTCGTCCGGGACGGGCTCATCATGGTACCGTTTGACAAGTCAGTCTAACAGCAGAAACACAACCGACCTCTTCCGTGCTCTCCAGTATCGATCTGCCCTGCTGTGGGTGGTCGTTGTGAATCGGGATTCGGTGAAAGAGGAGAAACACAGTCATCGTCACGAATCCATTCATCGTCTTTGGCGGGAGCATCTGCTGAAGCGTTCTGCTGTAGACGGGTGCGTGAGATCTAGTAAACAGTGAGTGAAAATGAGCTGCGCGAACCTCTTTACCCTGTGCGAGAGGAACATCGACAATAGCCGGTGATGTCTGACCTGTCCGAATGGGCCACCAAGATTGGATAGTGGGCGGTACTGGTGGGGGCCAAGACTAGAAAATGAAATATAAGTCGAATATGTGAATATGGCAGTCCCCACTCACGTCCTCGTGGATATTTATATGTGGATGAGGTAGGGGCGCTGTAGCAGGGAACTGCAAGCGGGCCGTCGAGTCAACTGTACACGAAGCAAACAGATAAAAGAAACGTACGTCTAGGGGATTACGAAGCCCATCGGTGCGAATAGGACGAACTGCATCCGCACGAGAAGAGGAAGGAAGGAGATTGCGTAGAAAGCGGGGGAAAAGCGTGTTCCTTGTAGGTGGAGGTCTTGACGGGCGGGGGGTGGGAGATATAACAGGCAATATCACTGGTTTACGGTGACGAGTTGCGTCGGACTGTAATAAGGGATGGTGTGGTGTAGAGGAAAAAAAGAGCAGGACCACGCACGTTGAGTAGCTTATCGGCGAGGCGCCGACGTTCAGGTTTACTGATCTGTAAGAGATTTTAGTATATAACTGATGAATCTATGCGGGTGAATACGTACACTAGCGAGGATGTTGGATGGAATTTTGTATATATGTATATTGCTATCCTCATAGGTTGTGTAAGCCAGTTGGTGTGAATCAGGTGAGAGGATGAGCCTGAGGATGAAGGGAGCATGTGAGTCGAATGAAGCGAGTAGCCGGCGAGACTCGAAGGACCAGAGCTTGATGGTGCGGTCGTATGAAGCACTGGCGAGAAGGGCACAATCAAACGAGAGTGCTAGGTTGGTGATTTGCCTGGTGTGCCCTTGGAAGGAATCTCCGACAGTCTCCAACGTCGACGCGTCAAATTCATAGATCGAATCGTCGTTGTTATCCGTGAAGTTGAATGCGGCAACAATGGATTTCTCTTTGGTTGTCCAGAGTACTGGCACAGTCTGAATCCCAAAAGAGAATCCAGATGATGTTCTAGCGACATCCAATTTCTGTGTTTGGACGTCCCACACTTGAAGCCGCCCGGGCCGCCCACTTGACGACACCGCCAGCTTCTTTGAGTTTTCCGAGAATCGAAGTGCTATTTGGTTAGGAACACCATCACTGAGTTCGAATGGACCAGCCAGAAGTTCGCCTGTGTCCAAGCTCCATATCCACATAGAAATGGTCTCCACACTCGCAACCCGCGAACCGAATTTTAACAATGCACCCGCTAGCAGTGTGCTGTCTCTGGAGATGTCAATGGACCAAATGTTGCCCAATCCATCATCATGATGGAATGTTCTCACGATCCCCGTCTCAACCTCACGAACTTTGAGCTTCCTGGCACCACCAGTGACAACCCATTGACCATTCCTTGATACCTCAACCGTGGCTGCTTCCATACCATCCTCACAAACCTCCCGAACTTCCTCAATTTCCTTACCCTTCCGCAGGTCCCATCGCCGAATGGTCTTATCGTGTGATCCGCTGATCATTTGTTTGCCGTCGGTCAAATAGGAAATGGATGAAACAATTTTCGACTCGTGACGCCTGCCATCCGACGAGGTAAAACCATGTGGTTCATGACCCTCCAATGTCATCACCGGTGCCAGAATCGATTTGTTTGCTGCTTTACCAGGCCATTTCGAGCTGGAAGCCATGACGGTTGTATTTGCAAACACGTTGGCAAGTCTGACGATTACGTTCAGTAAGTCGTCCTACCAGGGTGTGCTGAAGGCTTGACGTTTCCAAGCGCTTTTCAGGTCTCGAGAGCCGATGCACTTTCCCTGGTTGAGCCAATCGTCAGTTCATCGGTGCAGGATGTTCAGATGGGGGGTATTCACGTTACCAGGATGCAAGTATGGACGACGAGCGATCGTTTGATGGGTTTACCTCTTTATATCTCCCCGTCTTCATGGCTGTGTTATACAGCATGTCCTTTTTTAACTCCTCCTTATCGGCCCGGACTCAGACCTACCTGTCCCTTTACAGCAAGTTTAATCACACAGTTAGAAAGGTATTGACAGCGCGGTGGAAATCTGATCGTTCTTTTTTGTCGTAAACCTCACAACTGCTGTGACAAACACCCCCATCCTGTATTCTTCGTTTACACTGGCTCATCTTACATGTCATTCGCAAAGTCAAATGTACTGCGATATATGCAATGTGCCATGCTCGAGTTAATACGAAGGAACCAATCATTCACGATGACCTGCATAAAAACCTACACTGAAGGAAAAAGAATCAAATCAAATCAAGAACTCCTCGACACGACGAGCGCTTGTGCTACAAGTTTGATAGCAAGTCGAGAATCATGGCAGAAGGCCACTTACATACTCATCCGAGTCGGTTTTGATCTGTGTCGATGCAGACGGTTCGTGTCAGTGGAGGTCAGGCGAAGCAGGGTCATAACTTTCATCACGTATCTAGTCATCGTCATGACTATGAGCACCGGCTGCAATGTTGCGATGCAAATCCACGAATGAGATATCACAAACAGCGATAAAAATAGAGCTGGCGCACCTTTCTACCATGGGCGTAGCCTAGTAGGGAATAACTACGATAAAGGCGAAGCATCATCTACGCAAGCTAGGCGATGTAGGGGAAGTTTGAAGGTGGTGGGAGTAGTGGTAGCATAGCATGATGGGTGGTGCCGGCGTGTGTCGAGACTGAAAATACGCAGGTGATACTATTGATAATTACAGGGGCAGACACTCTCACCTCCCCGCGGGCACCTGTATCCATTTGAGTTGTGGCCGGTGCCGAGGGAGAGGGATTTGAATGTAGCAGGAAACTGTACGATGATCGTTGAATCAATCGTGAAAGAAACAGGATGAAACTAGATGCGATTAGTGTATCATGAAGCTGATCATAGACAGGAGGGACTACGTTCGTCGGAGAATAGAAATACAGGAGTTTATGTAGGTGACGAAGGAAAATGGGCTGTTGTGGGTTTATTTAGTGTATGCAGGTGTCTTTGGGAGAAGACCATATGACAGGCCATGTTGCTACGTTAGACTATGATGATTCTCATCAGCGTAGTGGAGAATTAATCGGTGGCGTACTTCAAGTAAACGATCAAGGGTTGGATTGATCTTCAGCGCTGTCGGCAGCCACGAGTTTCCGCGTTCTATCATCCAATGGCCCGCTCGCCAGTAGTGTGCTGTTCGCCGAAATATCGATGCATCTCATTCTCCGTGAACTCGATTGATATCGACATGTTTTCACAATTTTTGTCTGTGAATTCTGCAGCCTTTGAGCTCCCTACTGTATAATTATCTCCACCAGCAGTGACTCACCCGTCCCTTGATACCGCCGCCCCAAACGTGCTCTCCAACATCAATCACCTTACAAACACGCCTGCAGATCCGGTCGTCGTCGGTCGAGCGGTCCTGTCAGTCGGAACAATGTTCAAATTTCTCGTACTGTATTTGTGCACGACTGCGTCCCAATGGCTCATACTGGTGCCACGTGGTATTGAGTTCTTGACAAATAGAGTTCATGGGAAGTCACGAAAGCAGTTCATGAAAACTAGGTTCGCCTGGTAAAGCATTCATGAAAACTAGGTTCACCTGCCGCTCATGAAAACTAAGTTCGTGGAGAACTGAAAACCGGAGCTCACTAAAACCTGAGTACGTTACCCAGCACTTCAGAAGGATGTGGGGACAGAGGCGAGTATGCCAGGGGCAGCATTCGATAAGTAGTCGATACAAACCATATACCATGATAAATTTAAAAGGACTGTATCTGAGCCAACTTGAAGTTGGCTTCACCATTTCTATGTCCTATAACAAACAATATGATCATTAACGGAGATCAAGGTTGGCTCGGCTTTCCTGATGCTCACCTACATTCTCCCACCTTCGGGGCCACCTACGTCATCTCCACTTGGAGAGTCTGCTTCAGCGAACGCTTCGAGTTGCCGGTCCACCTCACAGCTGAGATCCCGCGTCGTATAAGAACGCCCTTTCAAACCTCTCAGGTTCAGGACGAGGCGCTGACCTGCTACTGAAAGTAACGGAGTCGTGAACCTACATGCAAAAAACAAATTCCCGAAAAAAATGTGATGAGGTTGTATATAAGTAACATGATGACTGACGCACGTTTTAGCAATGAAATATTTTGGACTCTGAATTGTCTCGCGTCAATCAGGAAGAGCACTAGTCCGTTATGAATATGGAAGACTGACATTCGCGTATACAGTCCTAAACATCATAGCCGTGCTTAATGCATTACCAAATATGTGTCGATAGTTGATATGATTGCGACCTCGGTAGATTTGTTTGTCAATGTTTTGGATATCAGATACTTAGCGTTACTCGCCTCTTATTTTCTCCCTCAGTCGTTTCATTCAACGGCTGAGGTGAGTACTGTATTTACTTGAGTAGGACGTCGCTGACACGCACGTAGTTCTCGCGTTCTTAGGTACAGTACATGAATACAGTCGTTTCATTCAACGGCTGAGTTCTCGCGTTCTTAGGTTATGAGCCCTGAGGCCGCTCAAGTCTAGTAGGTAATCGACACCGAACGACCCTCCACGAACCTGCGATGGGCGTTGAGTCAGTAACGACCAATGTCCCCATCCTCTCCGAACATAACTACCCAACCTGGAAGATCCGGATCCGAGGAAAGTTGCAGCGGGAAAAGGTCTGGGGCACTGTCTCCGGCGAAGACCCTGACCCGTCAGCACCGCAGGCCAGCACGACATCACCTGCTGCCCCCACTGCGTCTGCGTCGACGAGTACCACAACTCCATCTACCACCTCTTCAGCCACATCTGTCCCCTCTGACACTTGGAAGATTCGGAACGACAAGGCTCTTGGCATTATCATTGAATATGTTAGCAACGAGAAACTGGACCTCATCGCAGACCAGACTTCCGCCAAGGATGCATGGGAGAAACTCGAGAAAGTGCATCAAGGCACTAATCCGGGGCTAAACGCGTTCTTCACGCTCAAGAATATGATGAAACGGAAGTTCAATGACTCCTCGTCGATGGAAGAGCACATTGCTACCTTCTCGGCTGACAACCGCAAGCTCACAGCAATGGGGAAGGCAATCAGCGACGAAATGCAAGCTTTCCTCGTATTGACATCGTTGCCATCTACACCAATCTGGGACACGTTCACGACTTCCTTACTGCAGTCACTGCCTGCCAACTCATCACTCACTTTCGAGACTGTATCCACTCGACTTCTCTCGCAGTCGTTGCTTATCAATGCCAACTCATCAGAACCCTCGTCTGCACTCGTGACTGATGCACGCACCAGTGGTGCAAGCAGCCAAGGCCAATATTGTGAATATCACGAGTCACAGGGCCACGCCACGAAGGACTGTCGGGATCTCAAGGAGATGAAGAAAGAGCGCAAAAAGCGGAAGCGAAAACCCCGAGAACGAGAGAAGTCTGGATCAAAGACTAAGGCAAATAAAGCGGATACAGATTCAGACTCGGACTCAGATGGGACAGACTCGGATACTGTTGAAACTCGGAGTAGGAGCGAGAAAGCACAGCATGCGCATACAAAGCACCGCCGTAATAATTCACAACGTGTATATGTCACGAAGGCTTTAATGAACCGTGTTCAATTGTATACGTTGACGACTGCTGCAGCTACCAACACCACTCGACGATCAAAGGACATCCTCATTGACTCTGGTTGCTCGCGTCATATGACACCACGCAGGTCATGGTTCGTCGAATCCACATTCCGAAAATTGCGAAAGCCAATTGCAATCCACCTTGGTGACGACTCAACTATCAATGCAACAGGTCTTGGGTCAATACAATGTGTGCAACATCTGAATGGAGAGCGACGTCATCTCATCATCGATGATGTCCTATACGCACCTGACCTCGCGGTCACACTCCTGTCGGTAAAACGGCTCGCGCGCCACAACCGTGTAACATTCGATGGACCCTTGTGCCAGATACATGATCGAAAAAGTAACCAAGTTGTTGCAGAGGGCAAGGAGCACAACAATCTCTACCACCTTGTCTCAGAACCGATAACCGGAGCTTCAAAGCTACACGAGTCGACTCACCTCGCAACTGACATAAACGTCCTGCATAGACGTCTTGGTCACCTCGATCATGACAGCATCAGACGAATGGTGTCCAAAGGGTACCTGAGGGGAATAGATGGGGTCACCGGAAAGGAGATTTTCTGTGAAAGTTGTGTCAGAGCGAAAATGAAGAAGCTTCCATTCAAACACGAACGTGAATCTGCCCTCGCACCACTTGCCCTCATCCATTCTGATGTCGGAGGTCCTATCACACCACAATCACCAGAAGGATATCGATATTGGATCACATTTATAGACGATCACACTCGTTACCCTTGGATTTTCTTCATGAAGCAAAAGAGTGAAGCCTTGGAAAAGTTCAAGGAATGGCAGGGTGCAATAGAACCGCTCCTCAATGCACGACTGCAGCAGATAGAATTCTCGCAGAACTGGGTTCGCATATTCCGCACGGACAATGGTGGAGAGTACATCTCACACGAATTCCGAGGACACCTCCGGTTATCTGGGATCCTGCACCAGACAACAGCACCTGATACCCCCGAGCAAAATGGACTCGCTGAACGGATGAATCAAACCATTGTCAATCGTGCGCTGGCCATGTTGATTGATTCACAGTTGCCGAAGACCTATTGGGCACATGCTTTTCGCACAGCAACCTATCTAATCGCACGCAGTCCAGCTTCTGGAATTGATGGTCGAACCCCCTTCGAAGTACTCACTGGCCGGAAAGTGAATTCTTCAGGACTACGACCCTTCGGATGCAGAGCCTATGCATTAGTACCAAAGGACCAACGATCCAAGCTGGATCCTCATGCCCGCAGATGTGTCCTTCTCGGATACGAGTATGCATCCAAGGCTTATACTCTCCTCGACGTCACGACCCGGAAAATGTTCAAGTCCAGACACGTTGTCTTTGACGAAGCGCCAGGGACAGCGCCAGAACTGCAACGTGACAATGCTGAACCAATTGAGTGGGAGCAGGCATTACCAGACACAGAAAGATCACCTCAGACCATGGCTGACCCGAAAACGGTGTTGCCCACTGGTGATTCCGAATCTGTGTTTTCAGAAGGGGACCCTGTGCCCATGTGCGAGGATGAGCACAAGTCTCCTGAGATAGGCACAGAGGACCATAATGTTGCTGTGAAGCTCGAAAACGAATTGGCGAAGTCGAATGTGAGAGATCACTCACCACCCCCAGCCGAAGAAGCACCAATCGCGCAAAGACGAGGCCGTCGAAATGTCAAACCACCACCTCGTGTCCCCCAACTGGTAATGGCGCAGAAAACTGCACCACCCAAGCCACCAGTCAATCAGCCACAAAAGCCAAGCGCAGTCGTTGTCGACACATCAGCACCTCCCGTGAAGATGGACCCACCAGAAAGCCCACTGACTGAACTGTCATCTGACGTCGAAGACGACGCAACGTCAAATTCCATCTACTGCCAGTTTGCTGCGTTTGCCGAAAGCGCACCCAAGGCAGCAGAAACACCAAAGAACCTCAATGACGCTTTCAACGGACCAGATGCGACACAATGGAGGGCTGCGCTGGACGAAGAATTAGCATCCCTTGTGGAGAAAAAGGTGTTCAGAGTGGTACCACGGCCGAAAAATGCGAAGGTCATTGGTGTAAGACCGGTGATGCGCATCAAGGTCAATGCCGACGGAGGGATCGAGCGCTACAAGTTACGTCTGGTTGCACAAGGATATAATCAAAAGAAGGGGGTCGACTATAAGGAGAGCTACTCCCCTACACTCGGAATGGACGTAGTACGAGTGATTGCTGACATCGCAGCTGAAGAAGATTTAGAACTGCACCAGTTGGACGTATCAACGGCTTACCTCAATGGAGAGCTCGAGGAGGAGGTGTATGTGATGCCACCAGATGGTGTTGACTGTCCGCCAGGCCACGTTTGGGCTCTCGACCGTGCGCTATATGGACTGCCACAATCAGGATATGTGTGGAACGTCACACTCCACAATGCCCTGGTGAAGATAGGCTTCGTGCGAATCAGTTCGGAACACTGCATATACTTTTATCGTGACAAAAACGGGAGAGTTTGCTTCCTCGCCATCTATGTTGATGATCTACTCGTTGCAGCCAAGGGCCTAAAATTCACGGAGAAGATGAAGAGAAACCTACGGAGACTCTTCAAGATGCATGACCTCGGTGAAGCAAAGCACCTATTGGGCATTGAGATCATTCGCGATCGGGCTAAAGGAACCATCAGTTTGTCGCAGCGGCAATACATCACGAAGATGCTCGAGAAATACGGACTCAAGGATTGCAAACCCGTGGCAGTCCCAATGGACCCCAGTCTAGCACTATCTTCTGCGCAATGCCCCGAGTATGGGTCAGACGAATGGCGAGAAATGCAAGACAAACCATACAAAAATATTGTCGGTTCGTTGATGTATGCCATGGTCGCGACACGTCCAGACATCTGCTATGCAGTGGGAGCACTAGCACGCTATAGCGCCAATCCTGGACGAGTCCACTGGGTCGCAGCAAAGCGCATCTTGCGTTACCTTCGCGGTACAAGAGATCTGGCACTAACGTTCTCGCCGGTCCGAAAACGGGAGAATGCACTCGTATTCTATGGCTATTCCGACTCGAGTTGGAGCGGAGATGTAGACACCTCACGTTCGACTTCAGGCTATGCGTTCATGATGGGCGGAGGAGCCGTGTCCTGGAGCAGCAAGCTACAAGGACTCGTAGCGCTGTCATCGACTGAGGCTGAATACATTGGACTGTCCAATGCAGCGCAACAAATCGCTTGGTTGCGGGAACTGATGGACGAGTTGGGATACAAGCAACTGAAACCTACACTTTTGCTTGCGGACAACCAAGGATCCATCGCGCTCACGAAGAATCCAGGGTATCGTGCCCGAACGCGGCATATCGGGCGAAAATACCATTATGTGCGCGACGCAGTGAACGAGAAGAAGTGGGCGGTCGTAGACTATTGTCCGACGGGAGACATGATTGCAGATATCATGACGAAAGCATTGCCGAAGGAGAAGCATCAAAGATTTACGAAGGCCCTCGGCTTACTACCTCGTTCGAGTGGGAGTGTCGATAGTTGATATGATTGCGACCTCGGTAGATTTGTTTGTCAATGTTTTGGATATCAGATACTTAGCGTTACTCGCCTCTTATTTTCTCCCTCAGTCGTTTCATTCAACGGCTGAGGTGAGTACTGTATTTACTTGAGTAGGACGTCGCTGACACGCACGTAGTTCTCGCGTTCTTAGGTACAGTACATGAATACAGTCGTTTCATTCAACGGCTGAGTTCTCGCGTTCTTAATATGCTAGCCTGTTCTTGCTGTCGGTAATGTGATACTTACATGGTGCAGGTTTTAAATACCCACAATAAAAAATATGATTGCTGTGTAATTAATAGTGGTCAGTTACAGATGAAATCCCCCAGAGAGCATGCTCACCGTCTCGAACGAGTAGATGGAGGAGATCAAATGGGTAGAGATGCCGAAACTCCCTAGAGTATCTCCGGAGACTTCGCATCGTCAAGACAAAGAGTATTGTATCGAGAATGAAGCTTGGAGACCTTGAGCGTTAGCAGGAACGATGAACGCAGAATAGAACATCCTAACCCCCCGCAAGAAATTAACCACTAGCGTTTGAATACCGTCAATGAGTCGCCCACTAAATATAAATATATGGCTGCCAATTTACCGCAGAACCTTTGAAGTGAAAGACTGTCAATATGCAGGAGGGGCGGAATGACAATTGCATACTTGTTATTTCCTTGACGCAAACATGGGTCACGTCGATGTACAAGAACTGGACTGCAAGAGCGCAGTCATTTTTCGTACAAGAAAATGAAAAGCAGTGAGGTGGCAGACCATGATTGGCGAGTACACCGTACGTTCCTGTGCCTATCAGTACAAGGACATAGGACACGTAGCTCCAGATGAGGATATTTGTCAGGCACTTCTGAGTTCCCCAGATGGCCCGCGCACGAATGAGAACAAGTACTGAGTAAAAATAAAAGTCTTAGCAATGGAACTGCTGTCAGATGACGTACTGTGAATCGACTCTGTGGATAGAATCGTAAAGCAAGAAGTGAAAAATGCGAAGTGATTGCAGAACTGGCATGTTCGAATATGTTACTCAATGGATGTCTACTTGTGAAACTGCGACATACCGTTTGAGAACTATTTGTGAAAAGACCAGCTTCTTCTAGCCGGATGACAGTCTGCCCGAGAAGGTTTCCATATCGGTTGATGAGGAACAAGGCTTTCACGACCGTCCAGGGGCTGTTCCAAATGTAACGAGTCTGTCACCAAGGGTAAGTTTTTCACACTATGTATATCGGCCAATCAATTTACTTCGTCTTTAAGCGTTAGAAAATAGTCGTAGACTAGCAAAGTGTGGCCAACCGCGGAGAATATTCTAGGCAATGGGGTAAGACGATAAGGGCGTTGCACGATAGATAGACTTACTGCCGCACCCAGAGGTCTTCCATGAATATTGGGGATGGAACCATAGGTAGATAGGCGCTGAGCAGGACAGATCCAACAAAAACGGACTGGTGATTTCAACAGACCCAGTGCTAAGGTCCAAGAGCTGGTGTGCTTTAATATGGTGAAAAGACACACACAAGCCATTCACTGGCAATGACATGTGCAATAACGTCAGAAATATGGGGAGAGAAATAAAAATCAAACTTGGCATGAATGGCGCAACCCTAAGGTGGCGAGAGCGGACGATGATCACGACTCTAGTCACCACGGTTGTCAATGTCGTCAGGGATGCAAATATTGGCGAGGCTTGGGTCGCCCTGGGCGGCCGGCTGGGCCCTTGAAGACGTCAGGACAGGCTAACCGATGGTCTGATATAGGGAATTTCACTTACGACAATGCTCACGTTGGCAGAAGTAAGATATACTGGATTCCTACGCTTATGCCGCAGTGTGAGATTCTGTGGAGTGCGTTCATTAAGTACATAGATGTTAGTACTATGCTCAAGACAAACCGCGCGAGAAAATTAAATGAGCAAAGGCTGGACATGACGAACTTAACTACAATATCAAATACCCTGGCCAATCTTCTTTACATCTATGCGGTATATCGAGACACACGGCCCCTCGTAAGAGTTTATTCTTCTGATAACTTGTGTATGCAGCAGCTCACCTAAGGGTTCTCTGTTCGTATGGCTCCAGAAAAACCCACACATACTATGGTGCGGTTTCGGATCACTGAACTAGATGGAGATTGCAGAAAAATCACATCGAAAACGTCCTGCACTTTAGATTTGTTGGTGTTAGGATTTCGCTGGAGCTACGAGAGCATGCAATGCCCTGCTTGGGTGCAAGTTTGTCTGGTGTTGGCGGCCAAGCACACATTGATGCATGTTCTGCACACACCAGACTCTCATGCACTGCTACATAGTAGAGAATGAAACGGTAAACCAGGTGTTCAAATGTTCATCTGTGACTCGGACGCACCCCGAAACTACCTGGCTGAACGCTGCTGAACGGGGGTTTACGGGGTCCAACTCGAGTCACGTCACTTGCTCTAATCATATTTTTATCATTTCTATGTTCTCTAGTCGTGCTTTTTGCAGATCATATCGATTGACTACCAACTTTCGCACTCTGATACCAAAATCCATCGGGACGCGTACAATGGCCACAGAAACCGCAGATTCACTCACTGCTGAAATTGAACAGGCAAAAGGTGCACTGAACGATCTCCGACTACAAAATGCCGATGCGTCCAGTATAGACGCTGCCAAGAAAAGACTCGGCGAACTGAAGAAAACAATGGCTGCGATGAACAGCGCAGGAGGAAGCAAGGACGCCGGGAAGAAGAAGGAGCGGCTACTCCTTAAAACAGCAAAGGTGTGTCCGAGTGTGCACCACGATCATACACCTCTGAGGGGTACTCAAATAGGCTGCATAGGGCACGCGGGATTATGGCCCAGCGGAGATGTTCTGCCGGGAACATGTTGAGCGTATCGTCAAGGATGTGTTCACGTCCTATGGCGGGAGCGCTCTCGACACGCCTGTGTTCGAGCGCAAGGATGTGCTTGCTGGAAAGTACGGCGAGGACCAGAAGCTCATTTTCGACTTGATGGACCAGGGGGGCGAACAACTTGCACTTCGTTACGATCACACTGTTCCCTTGGCACGGTACCTGGCTATGGCTGGTGCCACGGTTCAAGGAAAGATTTGGCAAGTCGGCAAGGTCTATCGGAGAGACAATCCTGTGATGTCTAAAGGCCGAATGCGCGAGTTCTCACAAGCGGTACGTTTTTTTTTGCTTGTACTCTTGGTATTTTACATAACTTGTCGCAGGATTTGGATATAACAGGTGTATGGGACCCAATGATCCCAGATGCTGAGATTATCAGTCTACTATGCACTATCTTGACGAGATTGGATGTTGGAGAATTTACTGTGAAGGTGAAGTTGTTCGAACAAGTCCTAGATTTGTCTTGATGCCTTTCAATTCAGCTAAATCACCGCAAAATCCTTGATGGGATCTTTGAGGTTTGCGGTGTGCCAAAGGACAAGATTCGATCGATATCCTCGGCTGTGGACAAGCTGGACAAGGTTGGTCGATAGAGATGCATTCGGAATGTTGGTTCTCACCGCGCGCAGGCCCCTTGGCTAGAAGTCAAGAAAGAAATGACAGAAGAAAAAGGACTTTCTCCAGATGTCGCTGATAAGATCGGAGAGTATGTCAAACACAAAGGTAGGGAACCTTGGGTTCATGTGGAATCAAAATATCTTATCCTTCCCTCTTACAGGTGGCCCATCGCTGCTAGATCTTTTGAAAGCAGATGCCACTCTGATGGCAAACCCGAGCGCCAAGCAGGGCATTTCGGAGATGGATATTCTTTTTACTCTTCTGCGAGCTTACAAAGTGCTCGACAAAGTAAGCTCGCTTTCAGTGAAGCAAAACATGGTATTCACGAAGGCATAGATCTCATTCGACATGTCTCTTGCTCGTGGTCTAGACTATTACACAGGCATCATCTATGAAGCCATCGTCGAAGCATCGGCACCACCAGGTTTTGCTGCAAATGCAACGGAGTCCACTGCCCCAGCTCCCTCGAAACCAAAGCCCTCGAAAAAAGCCAAAGCCGATGACGGTGAAGAGGATGAACTGGATGAATCGCAGGTTGGTGTCGGGTCCATCGCTGCTGGTGGCCGGTACGATAACCTGGTTGGTATGTTCACTGCCGCGGCTGCTGCGGAAGGGAAGAAGGCGCCAGGGCTCCCGTGTATTGGGGTCAGTATCGGTCTCGACCGGATCTTTGCGATTGTGTGGCCGAAGTGGGTGGAGAAGGGGATGCGGAGTAAGGAGACGATGGTGTATGTGTTGGCTGCTGGCGATGGATTGCTGGAAGAGCGTATTGCGCTCGTGCAGGAACTCAGGGAAGCGGGCATAAAGGTAAGTCGGGCTGTCATTCTCCAACTCATGTGTTGACTCGTCTTTTTAGACCGACTTCCTCGCAAAGAAGAAGCCGAAGCTCACTGCGCAATTTATGGCTGGTGAAAAGGATGAAGTTCCTTTTGCCGTTATTTTGGGTGGCGATGAGCTCAAGGAAGGTTTGGTGACTGTTAAAGAGCAAAAGTGGGAGTTCGTAGATGGGAAGAAGACGAAAGTCCAGTCAGCAGATCAAGGCATGAAGGTGCGGCGGGACGAACTGATTAACTGGATTAAGCAAACACAGACATATCAAGGCTGGTCGAGCGGCCGACTTATCTAGGAGGAATATTTCACCATACCCTGTAATGCATAGATATTGCTTAGAATTTAGAAGCCTGGGTGGCGCGACATTGTATGCCCATGTTTGTCTTGTCAATACTTTGTCACGAGGTTTTTCAACTTTTCTTGGTTTTCTCTCAACCACCACCGCCGACAATATCGACAAGGACAGCAACAATGGATGACGGTACGTTTTCAGCATCAGCCCCGACGACGACAGCCAGTTCTGCATTCAATCTTTTCTTCTGTTCCGGCACAACCGCCTCGTACATACCAGCACTATTTTTCTCATCGCATTCATCAGTCTCATTCCGTACTTGAATTCGGAGCAGCTGGGATGTCTTCACCACCAAATATCGGCTCAAGGCCGATAACGACCTATCATAAAAAAACTGATGCGCAACTCGAGTAAACCGAGCTCTCTCGACTTCTCATACGTAGTGCGTCCTCAGTAGTTCGTTCGCACGCACTATGACGCGTGCGCGCGACACAGTATAATCGCCCATTCCTCCTCCACCGTTCTACCCGCCGCCATGAATCGACATTGATCTTGTTTTCACCCTTTCCGCCTATTCAGCCTGGCAATCACAAGATATTGCACCTTCTGGGATTAGCATTCCCACGCACGAGGCCAATATGAATGGCGGACCTGCTGGTAGGGAGGAGCAGAACTGGAATGGCAGTGCTCGCTCACCTGGCAGAGACCGTGGGGGTGAACCTCCCAGGCGCTCTAGCCGCAGCAGGAGCCCCGTAAGGGATGACAGAGGGTGCGTGTCGTTGGAGTCTGTGTCATGTCTGATGCTAACAATTCTGGTAGTCGTGGAGGTGACAGCGGTGGTCACAACCCTGGAAACAATCTTCATGTTTCAAACTTGAGCCACCGTGTTGATACGCGTGACCTTGAGGCGGCGTTTGCTAAAATTGGCCGTGTACGTTGTCGTCTTGGGGTTTTTTTTTCCTGTCGCTGAACCAATTGAAATAGGTCAAAAAGGCTTCGGTCATGTACGACCCACACACCCGCGAGTCTCGTGGGTTTGGGTTTGTCACCATGGAGACTTCTGAGGAGGCCGATGCTGCCATCACCGCGCTCAACGCGACTGATCTCATGGGGAAGACTTGTACCGTAGAAAGGGTATACCCGCATGCTTTTGGATTTAGCCAACCTTTGTTAATTTGGTGTTTAGGCCCGCCGTGGACGTGCGCGTACTCCTACGCCTGGAAGGTATTACGGTCCTCCCAAGCGCCATGACAGTGAGTCTCACCAGAGTATAATTTACACACTGGCTTAACTCCTAAATAGATGAGCGCCCATATGACCCGCGTCCTTACGACAGCCGTTATTCCCGTGACTACGACGATCGTCGTCGTGGAGGTCGCCCTGATGATCACCGAGGTGGAGGTGGAGGTGGTGGCGGCGGAGGTAGAGACTACGACCGTGGTAGCTACCGTGACTATGACCGAGGATACAGCGGGGGTGGTGGCGGTGGCGGCGGTGGACGCGACTACGATCGTGGTGGCGATCGTGGTGGCCGCGACTACGATAGGAGATACTAAATGTACTCGCTCTGAACACGGACCATTTCGCGTTATGTTTTGCTTTCGTTGATATGTATTCCATAAGTAACTCTGGTGAATTCAAGCCTGTTGCATGATGGATCATGATCTCGAGCTTTCTCACGTATTGTTGTTGGATGGCTTATCATTTCTTTCGCACAGACGTCTCAGAAGTTCTGGGCCCATGGCCGAATTTTAATATAGATCTAGAAGGAACCAGCCACAACTTTCGACTGTCTACTTCCTTCTGTCTGCTATGGGAAACTCTGGGTCTATGACCCTCCAGGCTCGAATGATCAAGTTGGCGTTTCGAATTGGCATGTTGGTACTTCGAAACGGTGTATTGGCGCTGGTTAAAAGACACGGTGAGGTCCCACTACCTTCTCTCACTGCTCCCTGGACTTTAGATGGTGCAAGTCTTCGACTTATTCGCGATGAGCGAAGACCATGGGCCAGATCTTCCGGAAACACCCAGAGAAGCAACCGGCCAACTTGGCGAACACAGTTTGTTTGACATAGCCTTATGGTCTTGGACGACATGTGAATTGCACAGCTGTTCAGACCGCAATAAGTGGGTGGGCATACGTGTAACGGATGACGTGCTGTCAGGCTCGTTCTCGCTGGATGGGGCTTGCTTGGTCGCTGGGTCGCGAGATCGATCATACTGTCTGACTGTGACAGGAGCCGTTTGGGAGGCACACACATCCTGTTTGGTCAGTCAGTCTCGTTCTCACTGGATGGGACTTGCATCGTGTCTGGTGTCTGGTTTTCAGGACGACATTGTCCTGGTGTGGGATGCCGCGACAGGGCAACCGTTGTGTGAACCCTTGTAAAGGCACGCTCATTCGCTTGGGTCAGTCTTATTTTCGCAGGATGCCAGTATTCGTATTGTGTCGTGTTCGGAGGATAAAATTGTCCAGCTGTGGGATGTAACGACGGAGCAGCAATTGGGTGCACCTCTGTTGGGGCACACAGGTTCGGTTCGGTCAGTTTCGTTCTCTCCGGATGAGATTCGCATTAATATTGTATTTGCTTTAGAGGATATATATGACTGTCTGTCTGGCTATGAGATGCGGTAACCGGGCAGGTACTGGGTGAGCGCTTGCGGGGGCACATTTTCGGTTTCTCGTTCTCTCCGGATGAGACCCGAATCTTGTTCTGCGGATACATGTGACCGGCGGTCAAACTCTATAGTTATATATATATGGCTGATTTGCATCGCATTCCAGGAAACGCCATACCACTGACAAAGCCAGAGGAGGTGAATCCCTTGACCCACAGGTGGTCTGACAGCGTGGTCTCGATGCATCTGCATCATCAAAGATGGTCGTGCAAATGGCAACAGTACTAGTGAGTGAGCAGAGCATCCTTTGTAGATCCGCTCGGCTCCTTGATTGTGTGAGCGCTCACTTTTGACGATATGTGCGCACATTAGCACCGGTCACGGAGCATATAGTTTAGCCTTCGGGGCTTCGTTCCCTCCGCTAGTCCTTATGGCATCTTGGCACTTTCCACACCATATGTTGTCTCTACCGGTGTTGTTGTTACCGGTAGCAACTTTCCGTCTCGAACGGGTTGATACGTGATATTTTCCTCGTATGCAGTTTTACCTCGGCATTGCTTAACACATCCCACCGAGGTATGTCACTCGTACTTAGTCTTGCTGACGTATAACCTAGACTTTGTCCTAGGTAAATACAACTTAGCGTTGCTTATCCTTTTGCCCTAGCTCCATCACCCGCCGTATGCTGCACTGTTGCATTTCCATGAACGAGGATGCTGTAACGGCAGTCGCGCATACGATTGAATTTAAATGTATCAGCTCTGAATGAGGACTGACCGATGATCTTGACCTATTCATATGTATTCCCTCAGTAATTTGTGCATCCTGCTGAATCAGGACTACATGCCTCTCGCTCGTGCAGATTCATTTCAAAACTGAGCTTCCAATACCCATCTCTGTGATATATTTATCTCTACCGCGTCTCCTCATTTCTTCCACGACTTCTCCAACCTTCTGGAACTCAGTCCAACCCTGGCGATGCTCGTCGTTGGCGAGATCTATAGGTTCCACAAATCGCACTCTTAGAGCCAGCCATTGCATAGATTTGATGTTGGCAACGAATTCTTCGACATTTTCCTGTGCGCCTTGGGCATAAATGACGCCTGGGTAGCCGACTTTGGCAAAGCCGGATATTGAAAGCTCAGAGGACCATCGCTGTAGTGATCGTCGTTTTGTTGGAGACACGAGGTGATGAGATGTCAGGAGTGCGTGGTAATGTCTTATCTCTAGGGAACGCTTGATGTTCTGTTGCTCTAGGAAGTCCATACTCCCTGACGACGGTTCTGCATGTCCGTCTTCATGTAATTTGGGAAGCAAGTGCATGCATAACAGCTCATAGATCGGATAACTCGATACGATTTAGCATTCGTCGCACCATAATCAGGGAGGTGGTGCTCACTCATTTCCTTGCACCTCAATCAATTTCTCTTGAACAAAGGCTCGCCATCGGTGATGTTCCTCTCTGGATATTCCCTCTCCGTTAACAGATACCAAGGGAGCTTGTGCGGCGTCTACAGCTGAGTCCTGCGGGTATCGTTCTGGAAACTGCACCTCGAATGAGATCCGCGTGTCCGTAGCGCTTACTTGAAACCTCGCTAGTGAAACAACAGGGTCGGGCAGAGGTGGGAGACTGGCAGTGTTGAATGAGTGTAGTAGCGACGTCCATATTCTGGAATCTTCTGGAGGGAGGGCGAAGGAGAATGATTCACCGGGTAGGAGAGAGTGCTGGATCAGTTGGAGTTCTTGTAGTTGACTGTGGAGGCACATGGAGGTTATGTGGAGCTGATGGTTTGTGTACTAAAGCGCTGGAGTGGCGCTAAAGTCCTAAAGTTGGCCCGGGCCCTGTACATGATATCATGTATACAGCATGCTCCGCGCTCCGGATCCATGGACGTTTAACGCATGTTTCGAGTCATAATTGCGAGTAAGTTCATGTCGGAAACACGTTAGCCCGAGTGACACGTAAGTGTCCGTTTTGGCTGTGCGCCTAGTGTACATATATCTTAATGGGTAAAGCTTCAATCCCACCTCGTAATTAAATCCTTTCTTTGACGCCTCCATCTTCTCTCAAGCGCAACACCCATACACCACCTGCCAATTTCTTGAACAACTCGGTGCATTACAGTCTCAGATCAAGTTAATCAACGTCAGGTAAGTGTGTATGCCACCCATTTTGTAATTGTCATTCAACTTATACCGTCGTTATTTACTGCAAGGGCACTCCCCAAAAGTCCCGCCGAATGAGCTCTGCGGACGCTCTGACATGTCTGGCATTTTCCCCCGACGGTCAGAAGATTGCCAGCGGCACTGCTCGTTCGGGGGTGACCATCACCGATATGTCGTCGAGGAGCGAGCACCAACTACAAATGCTTGCAGACCGTCACATACACGTCACTGCTGTGGCATGGTCTTCTGATGGACAAAAAATCATGAGCGCATCGCCTGACCACACAATGTATTGTTGGGACGCCACTTCGTCCCACCCTCTTGGACCACCATTTGAAGAGCACAAAGACGTCATCCTCGCAGCAGGATTTCTTCCTGACTCATCTCGTGCAATGAGCTTATCGAGGGATGGAGAGTTGCTCGTGTGGGACACAGGGAGCGGGGTAGTCACTCAACAAGTAACAGTGTCGAATGCTGCTCAAACCATTTTCGTGGCGACTCTATCAATGGATAGTAGTCTCCTTATCACTAGCGATACAAGAGAGGGCGTTGCCTGGGGGATACCAAAGTGTGCACGAATGGCGGAGATAGCACTTCCAGATATACCATTACTTCAGGCCGCTATTATTCCGAATAGTCGTCCTCAAGTCGTCCTTGCATTTGGCGACCGGTCTTTCTGGAAATGGGACATCAACACGGGGAAGCATGATGATGCACGCTTTGAAGGTCTTGGTGAAGATGATATCCCTTTTGCCATGGTGGCTTCTCCAGATGGCAACCTTTTGGCGCTGGAAATTGACGGCGACGTCGATCGCCCTACTCATTTCTATGACATCAAGGGTCACGAATTACCTGCCTCCAACATGAGATGTACACATCCATTTGCATTTTCACCTGACAGCAAATATTTTGCGGCCTCGAGCGTGCCCTCGGATTCGAAGGATGGCTCTTGTAAGCTAATTATCCGTTCAGTAGAAGAGGCAAGGACACACCACATGTTTAATCCCGGCTACTAACGAAGTGAACTAGATTCTTGGTTGTAGGCCTGTTGATGTGAGATCTAGGTCTATGTTGAAAAAAAACTATCTGATGGTGTGCAACAGTTCCCTGCAATAACTACCCCGAGAGCCAAAGGAAAACAACGTTCCCTAGGACTCAACACGGGTTTTTTCGATGAACCACCACGTACATCTGGTAGTACAAGAGGTCGCGCTGTAAGATATCCCAGATTTGAATTCAAGCATACGTTAAACTTGATTTGTTAGGTACGATTTGGACTTGGACCCTCCTCAAGCCCTGGTCACCAGCAGGCATCCCCAAAGACTACAGGTCAGAAACAGCGTATCCTACCTCTTCCCAAAATTTGGAAGCGGATTCGGCATCCTCGATCGCACAAGACGCAGTCTACTGTACAGGACGCTCAGCAGCAGGCCTCTCAAAGAATCACTGGTCGGAAACGGCGTATTCTACCTGTTGGCGACATATGGACGCGCATTCGTCACCCCCAATCCCACAAGACAAGGTCGCCTAACATTGTCGACGTACCGACCGCACAAGCTAAAAGAGTACGTCCATTCTATCCGTGCTCAATAACTCATGTCAGGAAAAATTATCAGAGGACTATAGTTGCACGTCCACGCAAGACAACTGGCGCTCAGAAAGGCTCTGGTCAGTCTTCCAATGATGCCAGGCAAAGTTCTCATTCGCAGCCGGCGTCGACTGGGGAAGGCTCGGCTCAGGCTTCTAGTTATGCCAGGCACACTTACCCCAGGGCCATGACTTCACCTTTGCGCCAGGAAGCCGTTGGTCAACAAGAACATGAACAAGTTCACGTCGATAGAGAGGACCGAGAGAGCGATGACGGGATTGTCTATACAGATCGGGATATCGAGAGCGTCAAAGCACATGGATGCTGGAATATTTTCTGGGACTGGTTGTGTTACAAAGGTGAGTTTCTTCGTATCTGTTATTGTCGTATTCAATTCACGCATTGGCATCAGCGCTCTGAAATCGGCTCGTGTGTCCTGCTTGGCTATACTCCAAATAAATAAATATATAGATGGTGCTCTGTGATACGTTCTCCTATGACTCTTGCTGTGTGAGTCGTGTCGATGCCGCATGTTCTTGTACGATTTGCGAAGGAATTGACATGGGAATTGTTCTGACGAAGTTAGCCGACGATCGCGGCGAGTAACGAGTGCTGTGCTTGCTTGCTTGTTGGTGCGAGGTCGCTACAAGATGAATGTGCTAATGTTGGCCTACCGCTTCTCGAGCGTCATGTCTCCCATAGATCATATTATCCCCTAGTCAGACCATAAGAAGGGATATATTTGTTCCTTCTTGATGATGCATGCATCACGCTGAGTACCCTCACAGTTGTCTCATGTCTGTCTAAGCATCCAAGCATCCACACAAACACCGAATTTCCCCTGACAAGAACTTCACTATCTAACGCCATGCGCCCGACGGCAATAGACAAGACAAGACACGTCAGATCTCGTAAATACGCTCTGTAACACTGACAGCTTGGTAATAGCGCGTGCTGCGGAACTCAAAGGGGTCTACCGTATGAGCGCATCTCGGGGAGGAACCAAATCGATTGACAAACAGCGACATCTCTGAATCAGGGTTGAGGAGACGTGAGGTCCTCGTTGAATTACTGGAGATAGTAATGTGGATAAGAACGGGGGGAGATCCACTTCTTCCGTGTATAGAGCATGACCAATGGACAAGAGAATCACGGGAAAACCTCACCAGTCAGGATCAGGCGTCTGACTCCTCTAAGAACAGCTTGGTCAACGGCGTTTTGATGGACGGCAATGCAATGACGTGCCGTTTAAACACCGGTGTACGTCCCACCTCATAGCCCTATCAGTACATAAGCTCAAGCTAAGAGAAACACGGTGAGAGCGGTTATAGTATGCGGCTGGAAATCAGTTGATGGGTAGTGTGATGTATCTTGGAGAAAGTTAGAGGTTTCCAGGACTCATCATTAAACAGCAAGGATACGCACCGGATAGAACTAGACGACCCCCAGCATCTGTCTTTTGCACCAGGCAGGGCAAGTTCTCACACACAAAGCGGAGTAATGGCAACAACAACAAAACTGCAATCAGGATAAGAGTGAGCGCAGGAAGAAGGCAGCGATCACGTACGCAAGTTGGAGCTGGGCGCTCGAGCGTTGACAGGGAGAGATGAAACGATTGCAGCTGTCTGCATGATCGCTCAGATATGGTGGGTGAAACACCGTCGACTCGGAGTTGAGAAGCGATGGTCTTGGCTGGTTGATTAGTTCCTTGAGATGAGTTACAGGGAGGAAGGTGCGCTGCAGGAGAATACATCGAGCGTATACCGAGCGTGAAATTCATGTTGCGTCCGTCTCAATGCCCAAGCTGTCGAGATAACCGACTTCCGTCGCGAACGATAATCTCTATATTTGGAATTAGTGAGCAGCTAAATTCTGCTTGGATGAATGCCTTAGACATAGTGATATCAGTCCAATAACTAGAGAGCTCGACGGCGAACACATGATGGGAGTACAGTGTATACCATATTCGCGGAAGTTCTACCAAATGATTATATTCTCCGACGCGGATCAGATAGCCTTTCCGGGAATTTGCCGTCCGTTCAGTGTTCTTGCGAGGTCCTGCGCAGTACGACCTACAGGAAATGCTGCAACAACCTATATGGACTCCAGTATCCCAGCAACCTTGTTATCCTCAGAAGTTCCTCAAGCGCAGAAACCTGCCAAGCTCGACACACCCCACCTTTTTGATGGACTCCCGCACTCGGTGCACTTGTTTCTCTCGGCGAGGGCTTTGACTCCAAAACTGGTGATGCCATACCGCAAATGCATCTGCAAAGTCGTTGGGAGTACTTGCTGTGAAGAGCGGCACGGTTTTTGGGACGCGTTTCTGAATTATCGATGCGTCGGTAACTTCGGCTGAACTACGTTTTGCCGTGTCTTACTGCCCCAAGTCGTGGTCGCTACACGACGTCACGCTCCAATCATCACCTTCATCGGCAATTGACGCGTGGAACACGACGGGTGTGCCGACATCTCTACGAATATTAGCTTTGCAGACTGTGATCGAGGAGGCATCTATGCGAATGTGCGACGGGCATAACACAATCAGGCTGTTTGGCGCTGGCTCGGCACGCACCTTCCTTTCCACGTGAGGTTTGAATCATCACGTCACTTGGTCAACTGTCATACTCAATGAACTTCAGTGTCCAGACTCCATTACTCCAGAGTCCAATGGCACCAGCCTCGCAGTTCTACATACTTGCAGTGGAACTAGCTTGTAAACATCAGCTCCGTGGTCTCATCTCATGCGCAAGTCTCATCGTGTGCTTGAAGTTCGAACAGCTGGGATGGCACTTTTCCAATCACGAGTATGTCAGGGCCGATGACGGCACCAGACCTTATACTTGTCTGCAGGAACTGTACAACTCTCGACTTTTCCCACGTCGCGTCCCTCGATACTTTATTATTTTGCGTTGTGACGCGCACACAATGTAACCCGCCGCCATAAGGTTGTTTGGCTGAATGATTAGCGCGTGTGTTGGTTATGCCTCGTAGTCTCCTGGGAGTTCTGCCAAAGTATAAGACGCCCGCTCTCTTCTCATACTGCTTCAATTTTCAACCCCACTGTTTCACTCTCACTAATCACAATCTACGACCTCTTATGGTGAGTGAAGACCATAGACCAGATCCTCCTCCAGGAGCATGCACATCCAGCCACGAAAATGATGTTGAAAGCTTGGTACGTGGTCTCTTAAAATCCATCGCTGTTCTCATGCATTCTTCGTCCAGAGCCAACCTTGTAGAGGAGTCCTGCAGATATTGAAGGATGCGTTGACCCCAAAATTTCCTGTGCGTAGACGCGAATGCTGATTGTTCCTGAATCTGGCTGAGATTGTGCAGAATTGTTTGATGCACACACACAATGGCACTGCTGGGGTGCAGGATGTTGAACTTGAAGGGGCTTCATTGGGTCAGAAGGTCGAGGTAGGTTCTCAAACTCGTTATCTCAATCCTTCAGTTGTCTTAGAGGCGCCCAGGACACGCTGGATCTCCATCCTTCCAACGACAACAAGTTTCCCACCACGTCTAAGATTATTAGCGACTCCATGAACCAAGGGCTGTCCGGGGAGCCTGCTTCGCAGGTATTTTCGTCAAATGATTTGCTTGTCGTCTCTAAATTTTGGCGGTCCTCAGGTTCAGGCTGCTACTTCTGTCGTGGAGCAAGGTCCTGATCCCCAATTAATTGATGTTGAACTTCGGAGTGCCCGTGAGGGTACGGAAAACATGATATCACTCGGGGAACATGCCACTTCGGTGGCATCCGCGGCCCAAAATGCCCCAGCAGTTCTCGCTATCGCAGATGATATCCAGACCACGTTCCTCCAACCCCTCAAAGTTTTCGACACTGCCATCGAGGAGATCGCGAATGTATGGGCCGCTCTCCTTGATTGTTAGCGAACTAATCAAGTTATAGATCCATCCATACCTAAAGATGGCGTTGGGCGTACTTTCTGCCGCATCCAAGGTTTGTTCTGTTTTGCCCGGAGTCCTGCCTCCCGCTCAGAAGTTATGGTTCTGTGTAGATGATTCTTGCTCAAGCGGAGCGCGACACATCGGTCCATCGTCTTCTCAAGAAATTAGATGAAGTTTACGGCTTCATTATCCAAGAAGACAGTCTTTCAAAGGTTGAATCGATGCGCATTGTCATCGGAAAGATCGCTCAGCAGACTCTCGAGTGTGCCCGTTTCATCAGGGATTACTCAGACACGAAGAGCTTTTGTGAGTCGTAGAATTTTTGCATTTCATAGATGAATCTTAGACCATGGACGTAGGGATGAGAGCTGGCAAAAACTTTGTCGCGGAAACAGATGATATGATCACACAGTACAACGATGCTTTGGATGGGCTCATGCAACAATTTCGGGATCAAGCTGATCGGGACGTCGCTATATTTGTCCAATTTGCGGGTAAGGATTCATACGTGCCTCCGACTTTATATCTACTCATACCATTGAAGGTGAAACACTCGATCTCAGCGGTATGACTTATGCAGGGGGCGCGGGACTAGATACTGCGAAGCAATGTCTGTCAGGCACTCGCGTGGACATTCTATCCCAAATCACCGAATGGATCAACAGCAGTGGAGATGCTGTTCCGCGTGTAATGTGGTTGTCTGGCCCTGCTGGCAAGGGCAAATCAGCCATCGCCCACACGATTGCCAAC